TTCTCATCTGTATCGATCAAATTTAAAAGTTAAACTCAAATATTATTGAATAATTTACTCCTTTTCATGTCTGGATAAACAACAACGACAACAATAATAACAACAACAAATGCTTGTGAATTAAGGCTATATCAAGGCAATATACACAGTATGCACATATGCCAATAAGAGACTGACCAGTTGCAGTCCTAAACATCAATGGGAAGATTCAAACAAGTAATACTAAATGAATTTAAGCTTCACCCCATTGCATAAGCAAGTGGCTGTCAGTACTCAGTAGCTGAGTGGATAACGCAATGGCCTTTGAAGTGAAAGGTACTGGGTTCGAGTCCTAGAGCGAACATCAAGTCTGAGATGCAGGTACGTCTAGCTGACGAGTCCCGAACGGGACGAAACGTGCTTTGTCCTGGATTCCACTGGTAGCCAACAAAAGGTGCTGAATTTTCTCAGGATTGATATAGAAGCTGATCTATGTGTTCAACACGGATAAATATTTCTTTATTAAATCAATAATACATAGTGAGGTTTTGAACCAGTTGTTGGATCAACCTAAAACTATGAAATAATCAATAAATTGTGCTCATATTTCATATATCTTAGGTTGGTAGATAGAATTTCATATCATTACCAATATAGGTGACGATAGTGATTATATGTATAGTTGGATTAGGAAAAAACTATGTTAAGCGATTGAAGGGGATCGACACGAATCCTTGGAATTAAACCTTGTTCTAGTTTGCAATTGTTAGCAAAAATGTATCTAAACGAAGCTTATAACTATCCAACACCAAACACAGTACATAAACATGATCCATAACCCTTTAGAAAAGTGTAGAGAGTTAACAACTTGATCAGTAACACTACGGGATACGCAAACATAACATAATTTGTTAGTACGTTATTATTCAACATATAAATAAGTAAAGATTTTTGAATTAAAAAGTTCTAGTATTCTGTTTAATTAGACAGTTTTATAAATCTGTATAGCTGAAAGAAACAGCTTGATAAATAATAGGCCTAAATTCGAAACGGATTCTTCAAGGTTCGAGTGAACAGAATCTGTGGTTTATGAATCAAACCAGACTGGGAATGATCGAAGACATTAGTTAGACATCACACGATATTATGAACTAACCAAGTTGATTATTGTGCTCACTTTCAAGCTTGAAGTAACGGCCTAATTCCTTGTGAGGTAATAGATGAGTGATGGTTCCAAGTGCTATACAGATAACACTTCTATTCGATTTAGGATCCAATCAAATCCGCAAATTTTTAAAGACATACGACTACAGAATAAATTGTATTTCAACTATGTTGGTATGATTATAATCGTTAACAAGGTTTGTTTTCCATAGTGATATGGTGATCGATAATGTATATTTTGAAGACAATGTCCGAATAACAGGGAACTGATTAGGATAGAATGATAAGACCTTACACATGTCAATTTTACTCATAGAGTTCTGGTTTGAAAAGATGAACTGTCGACCACTCTACAGTGCACAAGTTAATGATTTATATACCCTTTGTGTTAATATTACCATTCTAGTAAACCAGTTTGTCCGTCATCAGCAATGTAGGACCATGTAGATATCTACATCGATTCAAGTTGCTAAATGGCATCAGTGCAATGATATGAAAGTATCAAAAGAAATCAGATAGTTATAGAAGTAATAGTAGAATCAGTGGTAGTAGAAAACATCGTGGGTTCCAGATCAAAGAATGAATCCACTGATTAAAATATATAATATAGTTTTAAAACTTACGATCAAAATAACGATAAAGGGTGAATAAATCTGCACTATTGAGTAGGATTTTGTTGAGCCATATCCTTCATTGTTTCCAAGCCTTGATCACAATAGCCGCTTGTGAATTACAAGTGAAGAATTTGATTGGTAATCCTATCAAATTACCATTGTTTACAAATGTGTAAGCGAGGAAAATAATGATTAGTTGTTTGCCTAGTCAGATTAAAAGGTATTCGATGAGTTACATATTTTCCTACCCTTATTATTATTGGATTGTTGTCGGTTTTTCGATCTGGAAATAAACGTACGTTCTAATCAAGCTAATAACGTGTTCTTGGTCTGTGTTGTGTTGAAGTCTTTTAGAATAGACACTGGAAGAATATCTAACGTAGATATTCTTCTAAGGTGAATTAACTTACCATTTGTGTAGACAGGGAAAACTGAGGGTTATAACACTCACTACATTTTATTTTTATCTATTACGTAATCTCCAAACACGCCCTATATTATCTATATTTTTCTTACAATTTTCATTGATGTATAAACGTACATAATTGAACATTACTCCATGCCATTCACATCTCAACTCCAGTTCCCAAAAAACCTTAAAGATTGATGAGCTGCGCAATTCTTAAACTATGTACTCTCAAGAATAGAGTTGTAATGTTAGTTGAATTACGTTGAAAGGCCGAATCAATCTAAGCCAGATCACCATTGAAAACCTGGAAGCACTGGACGGCCGTCTCCCCACATTGTGAGACTCCTAATCAAAACACATCCACAGTCCCACACTCACAAATCGAACTAAAAACCTCCAGTCACGCACGCGAACAATTAACCTTTAGACCACTGAGTCCGTATCTAACAGTGTTAATATCTCAATTCAATGCAATTCAATAATCCTCACAAACTTATAATCAAAATTATCATTTGCTCACCAGTGACTAGTTTCGAGAGGTCATTCTCAGAGTTGTAATGAGAAGCTGAGTTTAGTGGAGTTGAAGCGTGTCAGATGTGAGGCAGTTATCCACGGAACACAATGGAAGATAGACGCACAATGTTGTGGACTGTTTGAAATTAAATATTCACAGCGTTGGATGCCTGTCCAATGGTCTATATATTAAACATTCGTTCTCGATACCAAAGATCTTGATTACGCGTGGCCGATCTTAGATGCGTTTGGCTCACGTTCTAGAGACAATTGGTCGAGGCCGATCAAACAAAGTCTTTATCGTCTGGCTTTAAATGATTTAGTTATGCATCTTCAATGTCTTGCTACCTGTTATATCGATTAATTGCTTCCCCTCTTAATATATGAACGTCCATGGGATATAACACTACCGGAGATGGAAATCAATGATCCAAGCTGATAAATGCTATACTTAACAGTTAACTTATTTTAACTTCGTCGTTACATTATGGGGGATCTTCGGTGCTCTTGCTGATTATTTTTGAGAAACACCTTACTGCTGTCATACACAGTCAACTGTATGACTTCACCCTCGTATTTAAAGTTTGTTAGTTTTACCATCCCCTAATCGGACCTAAACTACTGAATGTTTTAGCCAACATAACTCGACTGAGTCCTGATTAATTACAAACCTGTCCACCGCATCAAAGAGTCATAACTATCAGGTTCAATCCCTTATACTACCATGATGTTAGAACCCCTTCCAATTTTTATAAATCACTCGGGCCAGTTATTTTCTTAATTTTCACCTTTTCGTCTACTCATAAGGTAGATAGTTTCTTTTTGTAATTTTTTCTTATTATACTTTGGACAATTACGTAACTTTTGATATTTTATGATTAGAAATTGATTACATCATAAAGACTTCAAACATAAAAACGTGTTGCGTAGTCAACCACCAATTCTTCTCTAACCTCTCGGTGATTACGCAACCTTCTTTTGATATTTGAAAATTCGGCTGACTTATTAATGTCATCTGTTTCTATTCTTCCATAGACTCATACATTTATCAAGCACCTGTAAATACAACACAATGTAAGTGAAAATTTTCTTTTAATATTATAGTTGAATTCATGAGTCATTTGAAACTAGACCACCATGGATAACCTGAAAGCACAGGACGGCCGTTTGGTCTTATTGTGGGACTCCTCAGCGATGCGCATCCTCGATCCAGCCTCAAGAGATTCGAACAAGGGACATATCGGTCTTGCCCGCGAGCGCTTAACCACTAGACCACTGAGCCGGCATCCAACGGTGTTGATATCTAACTTCAACTAATCAATAAAACTGAGCAACTGTCCACCATTGTCTTCAGTGAGTTGATATCTTACTAAGTTATTAGTTTGCCTAAAATTTGGTAGTAAAATATTTGAAAATAGAGTCTTCTGGAATCTTATTTACTAGGGTATATGGATGGTAAGTTGTTGAAATTTTGTGGAAAAACAAACTGTCTAATTGGTTTTCATTTTGTTGTTGTTGTTGAATAAGCTGAATGGAAACATCTTGGGGCATTGGAAGAAAGTATGTAAGATTGGTTCAGTGAAGATTTAGTTCTCTTTCCGATGAGTTCGCTTCCGAACTTGAACAATCATAAATACATATTCCGTTTTCAAAATAAGAATTTGTCTGGTAGTCCGACTTGAGAAGACAACATAAAGCCAAACTCATCTCATGAATATCGGATTTAAAGGAGATATGCTTGTGAAATTTTCGAATAAATGAGCCTCGAAATCACAGAAGGAAACTTTCTACTCAGTTAAGCTTCGTACTGTCTTCTTACGTATTACGGAGAAAGTTCAACTTACGATAACATCGATGTAGATCTGTAAGTTTACTTGCTCTTGTGTGGTAGGTTACAGTGACCACACAGTGCAAACACTCTAAACAATCTTCCTGTCGCAAATAATAATAGTGACAATAATAATGACAGATTTGTTAAACATCACCATTCCTCTGATCTCCTTCTTTCTCTGCTGAACGTTTAATCCTTAACCGACTTATTACTATTTCCCTACTCTCTTTTATCACAGTTCATCTTATCACGTTGTGCAATCTTCCTTTCACAATCATTAATCGTTATTTATCCTCCTGATAAATATTCGAGTTCACAGCCACTACATTGTCATGTAGTGAGTAACATCTTTGTGTGTTTTTCTTTATTCTACATCTTGGTTACCATGTTTGATGAATCTATTATTTCATTTAAATCATGAACCAATCTAAGTTAGAACAGTATTGAAAACCTAGAAATATCAAATGACTGTAAGACGGTCGTTCAATATCGTGAATTGAATGAAATTAGACATTATAACTCTTGGGTAGGAACACAGTGATCTAGATATTAAGTGTTTGCAAGTGAAACCCAATTCCTGCGTTTGATTCTTGCTTGTTGTGTCGTTGGTGAACACTACTAATGTCATACTTGAACGAAACAGTCATCCAGTAGTTCCAGGCTTGGATCGGTTCATGATTTTAATTATTTATTTACCTTAAAGTCGATTAGTCCCCTAAGCATCATCACCACCACCACTTGTGATCTTCGGTATTATTAGTATGTCACGTATTTTGTTCGAGTCATAAAAAAACCTTGGCAACATTTCCACAAGTATGTTAAGGTTGTCAAGTGCTTTAATCAAATGATTTATTTAGTTATAATAATCATCATCATACTACTACTATTATTAGTAATAGTAATATGATAAAGTACCAAGTAGATTAGTTGAATTTTGTACAAATCAATCAACTTATATTTTCCATCAAATTATGAAACATATTCGTTGTTGTTGCCGTTGGTGACAAAAGCATACTAAACTATACAAGAGTATAACAGAAGGAATAAAATTCCTTGGGGAATAATAATAAGGATTTTTTTAAAAACAAAAAAATGGAATTATACATTTGATAAAGAGAAAAAAATGGGAATAACTGAGAAGACGATGAGGGGGGCGGAGGAGGAGAAGGAGAGATGATTCAATATTCTGAATTTGTGTATTTAAAATAATCCAAACCAGGTAAAACAAAAAGAAAGGGGATATTTGTATAATTGATTTGTATAAATACAGTTTGTTGCAAAGGCTAATGTAGTTTTTAAGAAAAGCATGGTGGTGCTCACCGCCAACTCACGATTGAGCAAAGCAAAACTGATGAGATTTTTTTAAATAAGATAAAAATTCATTTGATTGCCCAATTTTCAGCTATTAATTAAATGTGTACTTGTGTGGGTGTGTGTGTAGTCCTATGTTACATTTTACTTGGAGTTATTCGAATTACACCCCCCCCAAAGAAAGTAGGGTATGATTCGAACCTTTGATTTACTGGTCAAAAGTTGAACACATTATATAACTGCTCCACTATCAAGTGATACTTGAACGATTAAATATAAGACAGCAGATAAAGGTAAGTAGAGAGGAAACGAGTAAAATAAAAATGCAAATACATACACATATGCAGTACATTGACTGATAGTTACTTACAGTGTCCTTAATATTTATAATAATAATAATAATAATAAAATCAGTACTGACTCAATTTCACGAATAAAATTTGAGAAAATAAAATAGTGAATTGATCTTGGCTACAATCAACCACCCCCCTCCCAATCTCTGAGCATGCGTACCACTGATTGATTATTAATTATATATTAGTAATAATACTACTAATATATGATTAGTAAGTAGTATTATTATTCCTTTTTAATATGATTCGAAATATTGACCAGTGAAGATGATGCCGATGATGACGATATTGATAACGACGACATATGTGTTGTACTTGTTTGTGATAATCTATCAAATGTGATGACATCATCTGATATGGTCACTTGACGTGATTTATTATCTAAGTTATCAATATTCTGTTTGTTTGTTTTTTCAAGAACAAAAAAAAATGGAAAGTATGGGAAATATCATGAATTTTATGAATAAAGTTTAGAACGTAAATTGAACCAAGTCCCATTCAAACACTATTGTTCTTGGTGTTCAATTGGCAAAGGTAAGTTAAAACGATGGAAAAAAAGGCCGTTATCTTGTTTATGAATTTGAATTTCATCTGAAAGGTAGGTGGTCAACAGATGTGTAAGAAAACTAATAATATTTTTTAAAAGTTGATCTTTGCCAACCCCTCATCATGACTATTGTAGGAAAGGAGTAGTTATGGAGATGTTAAATATCTGTGGAGAACAGATTACTGCCATGTTATCTCGGTGAAGTTAAAAGTATGAAATGATTCTTTGACAGTAAACTTATCACTTCAATTCTTACTACAAAGCGTTAACATGTAGCGTAGGTGAGACATTAATTTGCTAACCAAAGGATGATTTTACTGTTCAACAACAGTTCATTTCGTTCTACTTTGTGGCTGCGCAACGTGGTGACATGGATCAAAATCGATCACCATGGTGTAGGTGTATACACTCTTTATCTTCCCTTAAACCTTGAGATTTAAATCGCTCCATATCTGTCATCCTTCCTGAAACTATATCCTTATATACAACCCTGAAGAGAATTATGGTAACTTTTGAGGACTATTTATTGGTCAATATAATATGTATATTTACTATTGTAATTAACCTAATCATATTCGTTTCCTCTTATCACTAACTCTATTTTGACCTTTGAACTATTATTATACGACCCTTGAGTTATCATCAGTTTATTGATTACTATTCACAGCCACATTCGGCTAAATATTGTACAAATGTTATTATCTATTTTATGGGTCGATATGGTCTGTTCGTTTGGTATATAAACTCAGTATGTTTGAAATACAATGATTCATACCACTGAGGCTGTTATTGATGTTTTGGGCTTAACTGGTTGGGCTAGGCAGATCGCAGGACCGGTTAGCAGTCTAGTCTGATTGTACGGGTTTCGTGTTTCACTGTTCCAGTCGATAATTCGCTGCTCTCTAATTGGTGGTCTAATCAAGCCACACATCAACTAGGCATCCACTCGGTCACAAGATATAACAATAACCACAAATAAATTAACTACTTCTATGAATTCGGTGTTCATCTTGTTGTGCTAACGAGATATGGCAACTTGGACCGACGCATATATGTGCTTGGTCCTACGTTGTAGCTGACTGACTGGTCATTAATGATAGAGTATATTCATATTATACATTAATATCTGATCATATGTCTTCGAAGCATCACCTGCATATTTCAAGGTCATCGAGTTGGCCATTATGAGGTTACAATAAGAGTAGTACGTGAGTATGGTAAGTCCGTTGAAGATATATCGAATCACTATCAACTAAAGTGTCTGGAATATGTGTTACATATACCCATCCACCGGTTACTTAGACACGTGATGATGACTGATATAGGAGTAGGGTAAAAGAAAGGTAAGGGTGGTCAAATCAAAACATGGTATCTGTCCATAAAGATGATGATTGTCGGACTGATATATATATACTGCCGGTCCCAAGCCCGGGTAAATGAGGAGGGTTGGGCATGGGGTTAGCTACCCCATCCCGTAGAAAATCAACTCGCTAAAAAAACGCTAACCAGAAAAAATCATTCAAACCTTTCAAACTCTGCCCTGGGAGTAGAAGGAATAATTATGACGTCTCATGATGAAAGCCGAGTTCCTTCGGAAGTCATGAGGCCGATGCACCTTCTTACAACCAGAGCGACAATTTTTATAGGTACATAAAAATGTCCGAACAATGTGGGAGACCGGAAGAGTTTTACAAATTGCTACAGAAATGAGAAAATACAACCTGGAGTTTCTTGGAATCAGCGAAACACATTGGACGCAGGTTGGACAACAACGACTGTCTTCAGGAGAACTTCTGTTATACTCCGGTCATGAAGAAGAAAATGCCCCACATACACAAGGAGTTGCATTGATGCTGTCCAGAAAAGCATAAAATGCACTTATTGGATGGGAATCTCATGGACCAAGGATCATCAAAGCCTCCTTCAAAACAAAGAGAGAGGGCATTACAATGAACGTCATACAATGCTATGCGCCTACCAATGACTACGATGAAGACGCTAAAGACCAATTCTACGATAGGCTGCAGTCGATCGTCGAGAAGTGCCCAACCAAGGACCTGACAATTCTGATGGGAGATCTCAATGCTAAGGTTGGAATGGACAACACTGGATAGGAAGACGTCATGGGACAACATGGACTGGGAGAAAGAAACGAAAATGGTGATAGATTTGCAAACCTATGTGCCTTCAATAAACTGGTCATAGGTGGCACCATATTCCCACACAAAAACATACACAAAGCCACTTGGATTTCACCGGATCACACTACACAGAATCAAGTCGACCATATCTGCATCAACAAAATGTTCAGGAGGACGATGGAGGATGTGAGAACCAGAAGAGGAGCTGATATAGCATCCGATCATCATTTGCTGGTCGCCAAGATGAAACTAAAACTCAAGAAGCAGTGGACAACGGCGTGGACAACATCACAAAAGTTTAACACGGCCTTTCTTCGAGATGCTAACAAACTCAACAAATTCAACAAAGCCCTCAGCAACAGGTTCGAGGCCTTTCATGACCTACTCAATGGAGAGGGGACTACCATGGAGAGCAACTGGAAAGGTATCAAGGAGGCAATCGTTTCAACGTGTCAAGAGGTTCTGGGCCAAAAGAAGCACCATCACAAGGAATGGATCACTGTTGGTACACTGGATAAGATTGAAGCAAGGAGGAACAAGAAGGCAGCAATCAATATCAGCCGAACCAGAGCGGAAAAAGCCAAGGCACAAGCCGAATACACAGAGGCAAACAAGCAAGTGAAGAGGAGCATCAGAACCGACAAACGTAAATATGTTGAAGATTTAGCAACGACAGCGGAAAAGGCTGCAAGAGAAGGAAACATGAGACAATTGTATGATACAACAAAGAAACTTGCTGGAAATTACCGTAAGCCAGAAAGACCAGTGAAAAGCAAGGAAGGCAAAGTAATCACCGACATTGAAGAACAACGAAACAGGTGGGTAGAACACTTCAAAGAACTCTTGAATCGACCAGCCCCACTGAACCCACCTAACATCGAAGCAGCACCCACGGACCTCCCAATCGATATTGGCCCACCAACAATTGAAGAGATCAGCATGGCCATTAGACAAGTCAAGAGTGACAAAGCAGCGGGACCAGACAACAACCCGGCAGAGGCACTGAAAGCAAATGTAACAGCAACTGCCAAGATACTCCACATTCTCTTCAGTAAGATTTGGGACAAAGAACAAGTACCAACAGACTGGAAAAAAGGACTTCTGATCAAGATACCAAAGAAAGGCGATCTGAGCAAGTGTGACAACTACAGGGGCATCACTCTTCTCTCAATACCAGGAAAAGTCTTCAACCGAGTATTGTTAAACAAGATGAAGGATTCCGTGGACGCTCAACTTCGAGATCAACAAGCTGGATTTCGTAAGGATAGATCGTGCACAGATCAAATCGCAACTCTGCGGATCATTGTGGAACAATCAATCGAATGGAATTCATCACTCTACATCAACTTTATCGACTACGAGAAGGCATTTGATAGCGTGGACAGGACGACACTATGGAAGCTTCTTCGACACTACGGCGTGCCTGAGAAGATAGTAAATATCATACGGAACTCCTATGATGGACTAAACTGCCAAATCGTCCACGGAGGACAACTCACCGACTCGTTTCAAGTAAAGACCGGTGTTAGGCAAGGTTGCTTACTCTCACCCTTTCTCTTTCTCCTGGTCATCGACAGGATCATGAAGACGTCAACATCTGGAGGAAATCACGGAATACAGTGGACAGGCAGGATGCAGCTTGACGACTTAGACTTCGCAGATGATCTGGCTCTTCTATCACAAACGCAACAACAAATGCAGGAGAAAACGACCAGTGTAGCAGCAGCCTCAGCAGCAGAAGGTCTCAATATAAACAAAGAGAAAAGCAAGACTCTCCGATACAATACAATATGCACTAATCAAATTACACTTGACAAAGAAGCTTTGGAGGATGTGGAAACCTTTACATATCTGGGCAGCATCATTGATGAACACGGTGGATCAGATGCAGATGTGAGGGCAAGGATCGGCAAAGCAAGAGCAGCATACCTACAACTGAAAAGCATCTGGAGCTGAAAACAATTGTCAACCAACACCAAGGTTAGAATTTTCAATACAAATGTCAAGACAGTTTTACTGTATGTGGCGAAGACGTGGAGAAATGCGAAAGCCATTATCCAGAAGATACAAGTGTTCATCAACAGCTGTCTACGCAAAATACTTCGGATCCGATGGCCAGACACTATCAGCAATAATTTACTGTGGGAGAGAACAAACCAGATTCCAGCAGAGGAAGAAATCAGGAAGAAGCGCTGGAAGTGGATTGGGCATACCTCGAGCTAATTGCGTCACAAGACAAGCCCTCACATGGAATCCTGAAGGTCAACGGAGAAGAGGAAGACCAAAGAACACATTACGCCGAGAAATATAGACAGACATGAGAAGAATGAACAAGAACTGGATAGAACTAGAAAAGGAAGCCCAGGACAGAGTGGGTTGGAGAATGCTGGTCGGCGGCCTATGCTCCATTGGGAGTAACAGGCGTAAGTAAGTAAGTATATATATATATATATATATATATATATATATATATCAGTCAGTCAGTCAGTCAGTCACAACGTAGAACTTCGTACGTACGTACATCAGTTCGAGTTGCCATACCACATTAGCACACAGATGCAGTTGTCGATTCAAATCCCATAGTGGAAGAATTAGTAAGAGTATAGGCAGTAATCGGAAAGATTAGAGTTTGAAGATGTTATTGAAGGAGTATAGTACAGTGAAATATATTTGGAAGGAGAAAAACATAAAGACATGAGAAATTCAGAAGATTAGAATTTGGTAGAACACAAAGAGTGGATGCATCTTCGCCATTGCAAACGATTTTGAGCCATGTCATTCAAGGTCTCTAACCATCGGTTGCTATCATCTCGCGAATCCCAACCAGGTAGTCTACACTTACCAACATGGCCCAGTCCACTTGTCAGTGACTTCATTGATTTGTGCCACGTTTTGGTCTGGCCACCCCTAGCTTTCTTCCAACCTACTCCTACACCATGAAACATTGCACGTCGGGGCAGTCGGTGGTCGGGCATACGTAACACATGTCCCAGCCATCTCAACTGATGAAGTTTCACTACTTCATCAATCGATTTGCCATCCCTACCTAGTACTCGTTTCCTAACAACTGCATTACTTACCCGGTGGTCCCAGGATATACGAGCAATGCTTCGAAGACACCTATGATCGAACACTAGTAGCCTACGAATATCCTCTACTCTTACCGGCCATGTTTCACTTCCATAAAGTAGGACGGAACGAACTGCTGCACAGTAAACCCGTCCTTTGGTTGCTAGACGGATATCTCGCCTACGCCACAAATGATGCAAGTTGGCAAAAGCTAGACGAGCCTTCTGTATCCGTGCTGAGATTTCGTCAAACACCAGACCACAAGGGCTGATGAGACTCCCAAGATAAGTGAAGTGGTCTACACGCTCAACTACTTCACTCCCTATCATTAGTTCAGGTGTCGCTGCAACCCAATCCTGAAGTAACATTTTGCACTTCGAGGGAGAGAATCGCATCCCGAACATGCCTGCATTGTTGCTTATGGTGGTCAGAAGACTCTGCATTTTGTCAGCGTCTTCACCGAGTAAAACTATGTCGTCGGCGTATTCTAAGTCAACAAGTGAGCCTCCCGGTAAGAGTTCAACTCCTGGAGGCTTAGCTGATGAAAGTGCTGTCTCTAAAAGTATGTCAATGACAAAGTTAAACAAGAATGGGGAGAGTGGACAGCCCTGACGAACTCCACTTGTGGTAATCAGTTCTGATGACAGTTCGCCATAGGCTCTAACTCGACCAGTTGTGTTCGAGTAGAGAGCCTTTATGAGGTTAATGTACTTCTTTGGTACTCCTTTCAGTGACAAACATTGCCATAGAACCTCACGATCAACAGAGTCAAATGCCGCCTTAAGGTCAAGAAATACTACTATTGTGGGACGTCTGAATTTGTGTCTATGTTCTAGAACCTGACGTAGGGTGAATATCTGGTCTATGCAACCACGTCCAGGTCGAAAACCAGCCTGGTTTTCTCTAGTCTGCTCTTCACGAGCTTTGGTTAGGCGACCTAGTATTATTGAAGCTAATATTTTAGACACTATATTAGTCAAACTGATCCCTCTGTGATTGTCACAGGAGGACTTTTGTCCTTTCTTATAGACTGGCACAATCAGTGATTGGGACCAGTCAGATGGAATTACGTCCAGTTCCCAGATTCTACCTAAGACCTCAGTCAATCTCACTGCTAGTACTGGACCACCATCCTTAAAAATCTCAGGGGTCAACCTGTCAGGGCCTGCTGCTCTCCCTCGCTTCAGATTTCCTATAGCTTTTTCAACCTCACAGAGGGTTGGAGGACTTACGTCAATTTGCCATTCAGGACGACTGGGGATCGTGGGTAATTGAAGCGTGGCTGAAGGCCAGTTGAACTGATCCCTAAAGTGTTCTGCCCATCGATCCAATCTCCTGGATTGAGAATGAATAATATGCCCATCTCTATCTGAGATGGTTTCACTGATATTGGGGTTCCTAATGCCGGTTTCTTTAACGAGTCTGAATAGCTGCCTACTGTTACCTATTGCCGCTGCCTTTTCCATCTCTCTTGCTTTCCCTACCCACCACTGTTCACGATCATTACGTAGGCTTCTTATTAGCCTGCGCTTAAGTTGACTCCGCTCTTCGTTATGCTCAGAGCCAGGTGGGATGAGTTTACGAGCATCTATCAGTGCGGAAGATGCTGCCGAGATCCATTGTTTCTCCCTAACGTTATGGTTTACCTTACTAGCGGACATCACTGCTGTTTCCACAGCTTTTCGGATGTCATTCCACGCTGCCTCGGGGTGGACACAACTTACATGGCTGCCTAACTGTTTTTCTAGTTGTTCCTGATATATATTCTTAGCTTGCCTATCATTAAGTAGAACCCTTAGAGGCTTCCCTGCAGTGTCTTTCCTACGACCAGTTAGACGCAGACAGATACGTGCTCGCACTAGAGCATGATCTGAATCTAGACATGTGCCCCATAATGAGCGACAGTCTTCAATCGAGCCCCTCCATCGGTGGCTGATAGCGATGTGATCTAATTGGGTCCAACGTTGGGACGAATTCGGGGGTCGCCATGTCAAAAGATGTTTTTCCTTATGCTTAAAGTTAGTATTTGCAAGAAATAGGCGGTTATCTGAGCACAGCTGCAACAGACGGTCGCCATTATCTGTTCTTTTCGCCATGACACCATAAGATCCACCCAGGTGTCTTTCCCTTTCACTTAGTTTACCTACTTGAGCATTAAAGTCACCTGCTACTATTACAACATCAGAACGCCTAGCTTCTCGGAGAAGGTCAGAAAGTTTCCTGTAGAACTCATCTTTTATATCGTCTGAGCTGCAGTCAGTGGGAGAGTAGGCAGAGACGACGAAGAGGCAACGACGAGTTTCCCTAACTTTCCGGGTCCTTACTGATCCGTTTAGTCGGACAGCGCATAGACGACTGTCTACTGGGATCCAGTCTAAAAGAGCTAGTTCTGCCCTAGGACTTAATGCTATACCTACTCCAGCGAGGCCACGGGAAGCAGCGTCAGGGCTTCCAGATACACGAAGCGTGTATCGAGATGAAACTTTATTTTGATTAGGTGAGGTCAAATGAATGACACTACTCGGATCTTGTATGCGCGTTTCGGAGACGCAGCACACATCGATGGTGTAAGATTCTAGAGTCCTAGCTAAGGAAGCCTGTTGTCCTATTTGGCACAATGTTCGGACATTAAAAGTTCCTATATGTAGTTTAGAGCGTGGTTTCAGGAGACCAGAAATAACGTTCTGTGTACTCGAATCGTTTGCCCTAGCGGTGCGAGGTGATAAAAGGACGTGGGAAGGGTTAGTCGTGGAGATAACAGAGTTATTAGGAGGTGTAGGAAGGATTTGAAAGCGACCAACTTGGTCTTGTGTGCAGCTAAGGGTATGAGGGCTAGTATCACTTCCCGGCTGCCCACACCGTGGAAGGGTATTTCTTGAGGGACCTGAAAAAGAAGTTGGATTAGTGTTGGTCTTAACGACCTGGGTGCGTGACCGCAGTGCCCAAGGGACATCTGCTTGAGGCCGGTCACGCACGGCCTTTTTGTGGGGGATTTTTGACGTGTTAGCTCCGTTCTTCAAAAGTCCTTACCGCCGGAGACGGAAATCCGTGGGATAAGGCGAGGTGTGCATTTTTAGGGTCGACCTTTTCTAACCCCACCCCTCCTTGTGGGAAGGCAGCATCGCTGTCATGCTGGTTGTCTGAAGGAAACACCTTACTGCTTTCACACCTCTGTACAGTCAGCAGTACGACTTCGCCTTCGGACCTTGGGATTGCTGCTTTTAGTCTCACCGCTCTTCAATCGACCTGTCTGGCATGGTAGGACCTTGAGGAACGATTGTTCCAGCCAGCATAGCTCGATTGGATCATCACGATAGGCAAGCCCGACCACCACGTCAAGGTAGCAGCAACGGTCGGGATATATATATATATATAGTTACAGACAGTCTGGATCGGATTGGTGTGCTTATCGTAACCGATGGTTGGAGATATTGAGTGAAATGATTAGGAATCATCGTTAATAGATCGAGTGCATCCACTTTTCATATTCCCCCCATATTCTAAGCTTCTCAATTCGTTGGAATGTTTCCTCATTTCATTAATTTATATTTTCTTCTCAAATCGTATCTTCGATGCCTAATATTTACTGTTATCACTAATGCTGTTACTACTTTTATTACTCTGAGATTTGCCCTAATAACTTCATCCCGCTGTGCTGATGAGGTATGCTAACTTGAACCGATGTACCAGGTACTACGTTGAGCTTGCTTGACTAACCATCTCATTCGAACTCTCTAGAATAGTAGAAATTCAAGGAACTTGTTTTGTTAGCTATAATAAACAGGCCTAACCGTTAGATCATGATAGTATTTACGACGTACAGTCAAATGATAAACTTCAACAAAACGACTTACTTCAGAATTCCCTTTAGAATTTATACATGATGATTGATTGTGGTTATTGATATTCTCTTCATTATCTGATGACGACGATGACAGACTTTTAGACGGATGACCATTTGCCAAATATCGACCAATCCATACAGTTAAAAAGGAACTGAATACCTTTCATGAATAAAAATTGACGAATTAATGAAAAACAGATAAATATCCATGAATTGAAGGGCATCTTCTGATAAGATAGCAATGTAAAGTGTGATTTAATGATGTATTAAATTAAAATCACTAATTCATTGGTTGACTAAACATAATAAATCCCAATTCAGTATTAAAAGAGCGATTTAATAATAATGTTAATACAAACGAAGTGTAGACTATGAATATCCTCTATTATTAATGATCACGTTTCCCAGCTATAAAGTAGAACTAAATGAACTGCTATTGAGCAGTAAATTCGTCCTTTGGTTAGTAAATTAAAATCTTACATATGACACAAATGGAGGAAGTTGGGAGGAGCTGTTAGAGGAATGAGGGCAGTTATCAATTCCCGGTTGCCCACACCGTGGAAGGGTTCTTCTAGAGGTACCTGGAAAAGAAATTGGATTAGAAGTGGTCTTAGTGACCTGAAAGCGTGACCGCAGTGCCCAAGGGACAACTGCTTGAGGTCGGTCACATAATAACTTAGATCAGTGAATACGACAAAATTTCGATAGTTATAGTGTGTTATTAAGCTGTTTAATTTAAACTTTCGTTTACTTTATTAAATCTGATTGGACGACCATTGAAATCCAGGAAGCATTGGATAGTTGCATTGTCCTAATATAAAATTTCCCATCAACTTCACTAGAGATCGAACCTAGGGTCTTTAGGCCCAGCACCCTGTGCTTAAACTACTCAGGAACCAATAGATAGATATTGACCTGTAGTAACGCTTCCTAATTATTACTGGTCGTCTAATCACATTCAAACTGTGATGTGAAACAATTTCCCTAACGCTATAATAATAATAAATCTAAATTTATAGAATACATGAAGTTTGGTTAACAGTTAAATCAATGACCTCATTTTTGTTCTATTAAGAACTTATTAGCTGGATGTACCTACATTAGAGAGTTGATGTTTATTCCAGGACTCGGACCCAGTACTGTTCGCTTATAACATGGATGTTATACATTTAACTAATGGGTACGAATTCCTCTACTAGTGACATTCCATCTATTCTCAGTGGTCTTGAGTGCTGTTAGAGGTATGAGTGAAGTTATCACTTCCCGGTTGCCCACAACGTGGAAGGGTTCTTCTAAAGGTACATGAAAAGGAAATTGGGTTAGGAGTGCTCTTAATGAAATGAGAGTGCGACCGCAGTGCGCAAAGGACAACTGATTGAGGTCGGTCACACATGACCTTTTTGTGGGTAGTTTTTTGTTAGCTCCGTACTTGTTGGGACCTTACCACCGGAGACGGATATCCGTGGGATTGGGCGAGGTGTTAATTTGTAGGGTCGACCTTTTTTAACCCCACCCCTCCTAGTAAGAAGGCAGCATCACTGTCGTGCTAGTTGTCTGAAGGAAACGCCTTACTGCTGTCACACCTCTGTACAGTCAGCAGTACGACTTCGCCTTCGGACCTTGGGTTTACTGCTTTTAGTCTCACCGTTCTTCTATATCTATAGTGTAGGTCATTACCACTAAATGATTATATAAATAGTATCATACTGAACCCAAAGGATTTCTTGAGACATGACATTTAGATCAATTAGCAATCAATATACATAGCAACAATGACTAATCAATGAACACATAAGGAAAAGGTTAATTAATCGCAAGCTAAGAGGTCAATCAATGAAGACGGTCAACATGATTGTTAAGGTAAACCAAGAGGAAAAAAAACTATGAAGACAGCTCATCAACAACAAAGCCATCGGAATGAACCAATATGATAATTACGGTACAGCTAGAATGACAATGAAAATTCCCCAGTTAAATCATCTAACTAGAAGAACTCAGCACTACCAAACTAATTTGAAAGTGTGCTCAGAAAAGAACACACACAATTTGACTAAAATTAATTAATCGCAAATTATTTCTTATCATATTCTCTGACAATTGTAACTATGATCAATATCGAATTCAGTGATTTTATAACGAACTAACATTTATCAGTATAAGGTTATGAGAATCACTGAGTCCTATTAGATCTCGATTCAATGATCCAGAGGTTAAACGTTCACGCGCGGAAACAAGACCCTTGGTTTGATTAATGAGTGAGGGTCGTGGATGTGCACCGATGAAGAGTCTTATACTAGGACGGATCGCCTAACCGATTCTTCCAGATTATCGGTAGTTGTCTAACTTTGATCGGTTAATGATTTCAGTAAAACTCTTAGTTTTTTATGATATAAAACCTTCTAATGCTCTCCATTATGTAACTTGTCCTTATTAGAGTAAACCAAATTTAAACGACACTGATATCAGATAATACAGTTTAAACGAATGTGTACAAAATCTAGGGCCTAGAATATACTTTCAAGCTGATTCATTTAGTGTTGAGGATACTGAATCTCCAAATGAGATATCATTACTTAAAATGTATACATTCATTTAAGGAGAATTTTGTTTATTGATCAACTGACTTTCGTTCCATTCCCATTTGTATTGATTTATCCTGTATTATGTTAATTTACTGAAATGTTTAAGCAAATAGTTAAATTCGGTTTACATCACGGACACTAATTCTAACTAGAAAATTACTGGAAAACAATGAGCAGTGAATAATTCTGTTTCATTCTAGTAGTAAGCATCCATGATTCCGCATGCGAGAATCGAAACCAGGATATTCCGTCTCGCGCACGAATGTTCAACATATAAACCACTAGGCCAGCATCCAACGCTGTGAATATTTAATTTCAAACAGTCCACAACATTGTGCGTCCATCTTCCATTGTGTTCCGTGGATAACTGCCTCACATCTGACACGCTTCAACTCCACTAAACTCAGCTTCTCATTACAACTCTGAGAATGACCTCTCGAAACTAGTCACTGGTGAGCAAATGATAATTTTCATTATGTTTGTGAGGATTGTTGAATTGCATTGAATTGGATACCGATTCAGTGGTCTAAAAGTTAATTGTTCGCGTGCGTGACTGGAGGTCGTTGGTTCGATTTGTGAGTGTGGGACTGTGGATGTGTTTTGATTAAGAGTCTCACAGTGAGAGGAAACGGCCGCTCAGTGCTTCCAGGTTTTCAACGGTGATCTAGCTTGAATCGGTTCATAATTTTAACAAAATCCAACAGTTTCCAAAACCGCATATTAAAAATTTTAATTTCAGTTAGAAATATTAAAACTCTCCTAAAAGTTCCATCTTATTTGTGTATGGATTATTAGTGTCGAAGAATTTCACCACATTAGCCATTCGATCAGCTTAGTTCGAGTAAATCTCACTTCCCAGTTGATTAATAATATTGTACGATCACCACAATCCACGGGTCAACGGCCTTACAAAAATCAATAGTTAAACACCGATCACTAAAATATCAGGAATTCTTTTCAAAGTATACCATCATCGCTATGTTATGATTTTCAGTGATTCCAATGAGAAAATAGAGTTAACCTGAAGAAAATGTATGTTATATTTGTAACTACATATTATGAACAATACAGTTCTCGAGTGGAAGCTTGCCTTTTGGCAACTATATTTTCTCCACGAGTGTCTTCGTCAGCATGTTCTACCAACAAGTGTAAGATACAGACCTCCAATCAACTGCCCATCGGGATGGAGAATAGCTGAGTAAAGTGGAAGAAAAATGGTACACCTAATGATAACGGATGCACGTTACATGATCCACAAATACTAACATGTCATAGATGACCGAAAAATGAAGCTACAACGGACACTCACATCAGAACACTTGGAAATCATGACAACAGCCATCGAAATACCATGCAAACGATACAGAAAAAAAAGAAGAAACGTCCTTAAAAAGAAAATAATCAAAATCTCAAAGACAACCATAGAAGAAAACACAAACTGCATGGTCAACCTATCAAAACAACCACTAACAAACATAGAAGAACACCTACTCCAAAAGGGATTAAACTACAATACAAGCGACACCTCAAAACTAGAATTCTTCGCAGCACTAGAGTCATCACTCATAACCCCCGGAATGAGTGAGGAAGGGCAACAACTAACTGACTTCACAAGAACTAACAGCTTTGAAGAACAATACAGTACGTGTCGATGCATTTACATATGAAAATTAATAAAAGCCAATTGACTAAAGGGTAAAAATGACAATAGGAAATAAACGAAGTGGAAAACAAAGTATTGTAAAAAGAATAAACAGTTTTCACAATATCGTAGACCCTTGAATGTATCAGAGATTAAAAGGACAAACATTTAAGGTTAGGACAAACTGCTTTTTTTAGTATACATAAAGAAGGCTTGAGTTTTGAATAGCCAAAGCTTGAAAATATGACCTTGATGATTTCCATACAAAACCTTAAAAGCCGTATTAAGGTCAACGCTATGACCTGTTTCGATTATGTGTTCTGTAATTAAGAAGCATAGTTTTCTAAACCCTGACAACAGGTCATTATTGTATTGTTCGATTACTGTCTACTTATGCAGCTGTGTCCCCACACTACACATATATGCGAATTGTTAGATATAGTATGATGTGATGTAATCGTTTACGCGATGTCTAGGATTACAATGAATCATCGCCTTCATCTTTCCAAAGAAAGGTAATGAAAGTGAAATATGATTGGTTACCGAGTGTAGAGAAACAGGCACAGCCTACGGACTAATAAATATGTGGTTTCCTTTCCTCACATTGATTTCCACTCCTGACTCCTGCTTGTGAATTCTGTACAAAAATCACATCTATGAAATACTTATTGCTTGATTGACTTAAAGTTAGATAGAGTTGTAATACGCAATGATACAATCGACGTATAACTCGTCTAGTCTTTTTAGTGCTGATTATGTTGCAATATGATCACTCTTGTAGGTGACTCGATGTGGAACAAATTATGATAAGTGCTTAAATTTCTTAGACTTTTCCTACTTATCATAGAGTGCGAGGTGACCTTATGTTGGCGTTCATTATCTTAAATAATGATTTGAGTGTTTTATTATTTTTATTTGAACACATAAATATCGGTACAAAGGGCCAGCGAATACATATGCATCACACAAGTCACATGATTTTTGTGTGAGCTCTCGTACTGCCTGGGTGCTCAAACCGAAGTAGGTGCTTTCCTTAAGGGGCCACTCTCCGAGTCTTTGACCTAACGGTCTGATCCACAAGGTAGCGGAGCATCGTGAGGAGATGCAGTCCCATGGTAGCCGGTGACCATCGATTGATTCGTGCGCCATTTGTTCCCTCAGGATACTGGAGCAAGCCCGTGTGCACCATTGGAATCAGGGTTTTCCAACTACCCTAGGTGGACTCGCAATGTCCACCAACCCAGTGGAAGCGCCGGACATTCGCCTTTCGTCCTCTTACTTTCGTAATAAACAGTAATGCCACAAGAAAGCAGTGAGTAGGACTTCCGTGGCAGTGGCTGTACACACGTGGCTATGTGAGAGCATTTCGAGAGAGAGAGAGGTGACTCTTCTCACCCTCGGCCGTACCAGGGTGTTGTGGGCTTATCTTATTTGATCCTTCAAGAACCAACCATATTCGAGGCCTCAGTAAGTAGGTTCAAAAAACGCGATCGAATAAACTTAGAATGGGATTGCGATTTTCCTATCGAGTGTTCGATGACTGGAACGACAAATGTTCAGTGCCGCCTGGTACTCATCAACAAGGTGTACTTCTAATATTGAGGTGATTGTTTCTTCCTAGTAGATTTGATCTCGTGTCATCTGCTTTCACAACCTAACATGTTAACATTAAGCTATTATTGCTGTAACTGACCTCCTGCAAGACTGAGATATCTACAATCAAAGATGGCTGACACAGGGTCAAATTTACTAGAGATCACCTGTTCCCCAAAGATTACAGGTACATCTTGCTGGTGAGTGTTAAATATCACGAAACCTATGTAAATGGTTTTTTGTAGACTGTGAACAAACCATTGCAGCATATCTTAACTTGATTGATTAGAAAAGCAGACAAATTGGAAGTGACAGCTTTAAATGTAATCCTTAGTGAAAATGATGCCGTTATATGCAGCATTTATCAAAATAAATGGACATTAAACTGTTAGATATTGCCAATATAATGAACACTATGAAGTATATAGGCTAAAACGTTCGCGGATATGTTGTCTTATCTCGTTATTTGTTCAATATTCAATTTGAAATTATAAAAAACAACAACAGACAGACAGTGATTTTCATGTTTGTTTACTGATTGATAAAATATCATCACGCAATCGTAATTTCACAATCATAACATCTTAATGGAATTATTGTATTGTTGATTTCAAGAGTGACCTTGAAAGTATTGGAGTCAATTATTGGTTAATAAGTGCACAATAAAGTTAAATTAATTAAATCAGGTATTACAATTCCCTAAAGTGGACCCTCCATATCCATATCGGACATTCGCTTTTCGTCCTGTGAATTTCGTAAACTATCCAGTTGCTTGGAGTCAGTGAGAAGGACTTCCGTGGCAGTGGCTGTATACACGTGGCCATGTGAGAGCATTTCGAGAGGAAGAATGGACTCTTACCACTCTCGACCGTACCAAGGCATTTGGGGACGATAGGATATAGGGAAGTCATTTGTTTGGAAAGCATTGTCTGTTTTGATATGTCTACATCATTAGTGAAAGACTAAAAGAGTAATTTATTTGAGAGTTTACAATAAACAATGTAAGTTGAACCAAAAGCTGATTGCTTTACGTGCCATGCATTATTTGTACAGAAAGAAGTAAGCAGTTGGGGTGTTTCATAATGCCAATCAATAAAGCTAGCAAATAGGTTCTTTTAATAATTTTCTCCATTTTGAGTATTATGCAGCGATGTCAGGTACATCTCATGGAGTTTTAAATTTTGAACACACAAAAAACTCTTAAAACCATTTCGATTCCCTGTATCAAGGTTTAGCTGTAATTCACCCAATGAATGGATAGGTTCACATTCAGTTTCATATTAGGTGTAAAGGTAGTAAACTGTGCCGACGACCTCGAGTCATCATCAGAGAGACCTTGAAACCAACTAATCTAATTTCAACACCCAACCAGGATGCAGCTCATGTTAATGAAATAGGTATTGCGAAGGAACGGTGAAACTACTCAGCTTTCAGGTATACCTTGTTCTGTGAAATTTAAGTTTGCAAGAATTAAAAGATGAGATGGGGTTTTGAGTTACCAGTGGTTTAATAATTAATTCGAATGAATTTAAAGATACAAAACTTTGTTTCATTTATTTTGATGAACTAGGCAGGTAATTAATATTACTGAGTATCCCATACACAAAAACTGTACGAGTTATCTGTAGCTTACGTATGGCTTCTATTTTTAAAGACTAGACCGCACAGCAACAGACGGTACCTGGTTATTCAGTTACAACTAATTACAACTAAAAAAACGGGTTGAATTTTGAGAGAAAATGTAACCGGTTACATTTCGTTATAACAGCAAACAAGATAAATTGGTTTGGCGAAGAGTTGGTTCTCTTTTCGGCGAATATTTTTCAAAGATGTACGACCGTAAATATTAATCAATGATCAGTCTGTTAATGATAAAAATAATAACAATAGATTCTTGATGAGAACACAAGCCAAACTAGGTTAGATGACCATTGAAATTCTAGAAGTATCAGACGAAGTTGTTCGTTCTAGTATGTGATTCTTCAGAGGTGCTCATCCACAACCACAAATGAGAGAATAGAACTCACGACTTCGGTTTCGCTCGCAAACATTTAACCTCTAGATCACTGAGTCCCCATCCAATTACTATAATTATTATTTCCAACAAGAAGATTGTTTTGAGTGTTTACATTGTACAGTCGATGTAACCTACTACACAAGAGCAAGTAAACTTACAGATCCACATCAATGTTCCTGTAAGTAGAAGTTTCTCCGTATTACCTAAGAAGACAATATTAAGCTTAACTGAGTACAAAGTTTCCTTCTGTGATTTCGAAGCTCGTTTATTCGACAATTTCACATGCATATCTCCTTTAAATTCGATATTCATAAGATGAACTTATTTCTGTATTGTCCTCTCAAGTCGGGCTACCAGACAAATCATAATTTTGATAACGGAATATGTATTTATGATTGTTCAAGTTCGGAAGCGAACTCATCGGAAAGAGAACTAAATCTTCACTGAACCAATCTTACATACTTTCTTCCAATGCCTCAAGATGTTTCCATTCAGCTTATTCAACAACAACAACAAAATGAAAACCAATTAGACAGTTTGTTTTTCCACAAAATTTCAACAACTTACCATCCATATACCCCAGTAAATAAGATTCCAGAAGACTGTATTTTCAAATATTTCACTACCCAATTTTAAGCAAACTAATAACTCAGTAAGGATTATTGCACTATAATGATAATAAAAATAAATTGGAATCAATAATAAGTTTCTCATTACACAACTAAGTATTTTAAAGTACATGAGGGTTAAACGTCAATAATATTGATCCAACTTCACAGTCTGATAGGTTACCACTGAGACAATCATGCCGTGAGTAACATTCTGTAGGTGTGAGATATGTTAAAGATTGATTAATCGCAGAATGGTGGTAAATGCCATATTTATCTAGTTGAGGAGGCACTAGTTCTTCATAGATTACTGGCACACTTTGCTGATGGATACCATATGGAAAGAAACCTAGGTCGAACAGGGTTCCCTGTAGACTGCATTTAATCGCCTGAAGTTTAAACGTAGTGTACGTGATGTCAGACCATCTAGACTAATGGTTACATCCCAACTTGATGGGTAGGATTCGATCGGTATTAAAAGCGACTAAGTAAGAATGATACTGACCGTTCACTACTCAACGAATGTTCATCTGTATATGAGAGTTTTCTCCGAATCTATATAAGCATAGATATAATGTATTTAATACAAACAAAAACTGGGCCAGTAAAACTGTTAGTTATAGAACTAATTGAATAAACAAAGAATCATGTTTTCTTCTACCTTGATCACAAATACGCAGTGATCGATTTCATCTCTATTTGTCAACATGCATACGTCTTAATGGCATATAATAGGTAAAAAACAAGTGTTTTATGTAATCCATTGGAACTTTTCCCAATGTAAAATTGTAAAACCGAAATCATGACAATTTAAAGGACATAGTTTATAAACGATTGGTCACTAGGTAGCAACTAATGTCACGTATTTCAAATCCCGCTTAGTGCTGACCATGCTGTAATGTGGCTATTAGTCTAGGTGACTTAACATAGCGTGAACTATGTTGAGATGTAAGGTGGTGATAGGAGGCAATCGACAGGAAACTGTGAACCCAGGTTTCGTGTTATTTGGTACTTGTCACCAAGTTGTACCAGTGATCTTGAGGGAACTGATCCTCCGTGGAGGATTCTATCCGGTATCAGCCAGCCTCACAGTCAGAGACGTTACCATCGAGCACAAGGAAATGTGCCAGTGAAGTCGATTTTATTTAATACATTAGAGAAAGCGGTGTGAACACGATGGAATACATTAACACGGTCAACGAATTAAATAACGGTAAAGTAGACAACGGACTAACAACATCCGCAACGACTTTAATGTTCATTGGATATGTTGTGTTCAATCAGCCATACATTGAGATAATCAAAAATTTTCAACTGAGAAGGCCATGTTGTGGCAATTAAGTGATCTTCTAATGATAAGTGCATATGATGTGTCAAAAGATGGTTTTGTTCACTAAGTAAACACTTACATATAAATGAGTGTTTACGTATGTAAATTGGTTTATCCCAAAAAACTTCTTTCTTTACTCTTAGTCTTCTCACTCAGTAGCCTGTAAGAAGCTTGAGTATAGGAAGTTTGAGTATCAGTGTATTAGTCGCAGACATTGAGCATCATAACAATCAACGTTTTCTATCATTTTCAGTTCATTTTGTGAATGAGTGCTGAATATTAGTGTGATATATGTTGTATCCGAAGAAGAATAAATTAGGGATAACTTCTAGGATCTGTATAACCTAAGTAACCACCTTTCATTTTATTACAGTTTCTCACGCTCACAGTCACTCTCGGATTGATCTTATTAAATTGTTATTTTCTATTTTATGGTGTGATATGGTCTGTTTGACTTGGATATAAAACTACATATATATTTAAAATATATGATTCATACAACTGATATTTATGTTCTGAACTCAAATGAACAGAGCTATGCGAGAAGGACCAATAAGAATTCAGAGTTGACGCAATTTGATTTGAAGTGTCATTGGTTTAGCACAAGGACAAGGTCATATAACTCAGTATTATTGATTGGCGATTTTGTCACATGATAACTGGCACGGAGCAAAAGTCATAACAACATCTTTAAAAAAAAACACGTTTTCTGTTCTTCATTCGGAATGAGCCATATATATATATATATATATATATATATATAAGGTGGAGAATGTATATATATATATATATATATATATATATATATATATTACTTACACCTGTTACTCCAATGGCGCATAGGCCGTCGACCAGCATTCTCCAACCAACTCTGTCCTGGGCCTTCCTTTCTAGTTCTATCCAATTTTTGTTCATTCTTCTCATGTCTGTCTCCATTTCTCCGAGTAATGTGTTCTTTGATCTTCCTCTTCTCCTTTGGCCTTCAGGACTCAATGTGAGGGCTTGTCTTGTGACACAGTTGGGTGATTTCCTCCTCCAACGCTTCTTCTTGATTTTTTCCTACAATGAAATCTGGTTTGTTCTCTCCCTCAGTAGAATGTTGTAGAATGTGTCTGGCAAACGGATCCGAAGTATCTTGCGTAGATAACTGTCGACAAATAACTGTATTTTCTGGATGATGGTTTTCGTAGTTGTATAAGTTTCCGCCCCATACCGTAGAATTGTCTTGACATTTGTATTGAAAATTCTGATCTTGGTATTGGTTGACAGACAATTGTTTTGAGTTCCAGATGTTCTTTAGTTGTAAATACGCTGCTCTTGCTTTGCCGATCCACGCCCTCACATCTGCATCAGATCCACCGTGTTTATCGATGGTGCTGCCGAAATATGTGAAGGTTTTCACATCCTCCATGGCTTCTCCGTCATATATATAACTTAGGACGGAATACATATCAAGTATTATTGCTACTTCATTGTACACAAATAGTCAATGATGAAAATATAAAAAATGTATTTACAATGACTTACGTAAATAGCCATAGTTGAGATCCAAAACGTTTAACATGTGGATCAGTGACGTATAAATAGTATTGTCTAAATATATATTAATAAAATAAAGAAATCAACTATAACAATTAATATAATGTCATGTACTAATATAAATGATTATTAGGGAGAATATTTTCATAGTTGAAATCATGAGTCAATTGAAGCTAGACCACTATGAAAAACCTGGAAGCACTGGACGGCCGTTTCGTCCTATTATGGGACTCCTCAGCAGTGCGCATCCATTAAGGAGAATATTATCAAATTTTCACTGTACACAGATTATCTTGAATATAGATATATAACATATATAACTTTGATCCTTATATCATTGTAGTGAACAAGAACACGGATGGGGACGGTCGAAGGTATTGGACACGAAAATTACAGACTATCTAACTAAAATCTGACAACCATCCAGTAAATAGTTAATTTGCAAACTATCAATCAATTGTATCAATCTTGATTATTCCTTCTGTAAATATCAACTATGCTGACTAGTATTGGAGATGGTTAGAAGAGAGTTAGGGGAGACCAAACCAAAACGTGGCATCAGAGCTTGAAGTCATTAACTTCTAGTCTAATCCATGTTGGTAGATGAAGACTACTTGGTTGGGGTCCACGTCATTGTCGTAACTAATGGTTGGAGACTCTAGGTGACATGGCTCAGAATCGATCACAATGGTGTAGGTGTATACACTCTTTATCTTCCCTTAAACCTTGAGATCAAATTGCTTCATATCTGTCTTCCTATACTATATCCTTATATATAACCTTTCTTTTATTTATCAACTCCACTAAATTAACTGCTTCTATGAATTCGGTGTTCATCTTGTTGTGGTAGCAAGGTATGGCAACTTGGACCGATGCATATATGTGCCTGGCCCTACGTTGTAGCTGACTGACTGACTAAAGTATCAGTCCATCGTCTTCAATTATTATTGTTCGTGCATATTCATATCGATTGCGTTCCGTTCTTTCCTTATCGATCTTCTACTGAAATACATTCAATACCCGACCATCGTAATATACTACTTGCGTGGAGATAAGTAGCCTACACCACATCATCCCTGTTAAACAAAGTGATACTTATATAGAGTCAACAGACTTGTGCATAATATTCAGCCATTTTAAGTGATTAGCATTAGTCAGATTATACAAGAGTAAAGGATCAGTATTTAAATACAGATTTTTTCTTTAGTTAACAGTTTTCAAGGAGGATAAAATGTGAGTGGTGACTTTTGTTGACAGGGATCCGACAGTTAGTCATAAGCAACCTAGAATTTGACATAATTATGGATCAATCCAAGTTATCAAATAAAACAATCAGATAAAATGACAAGATGGAGACTATAGTAGTAGTACTATAAGTGGAAGTATGTTTACAGATGACTTGGGAAAAAAAGATAAATTTTTGAACCAAGAAGGTTAAAGGTGATTTTAAACTTCAAGATCTAATGAAAGATAGAGAATGGGTGCACCTGAGACATTGCGATCTATTCTGAAAGATGTCACTCAACATCTTGAATCATTAATTACTATAACTGTGTGAATCACAGCCAGGTGATCGGCACGTGACTACACACAAGAGCAGAGAAAACTAAGGCATAGGTCGAATACAGAAAAGCAAAACCTTCAGAAATTCCTTGTCCCACTAGCACTACAGTTCGCTCAAGCTATAGCCCATACGATCAGGCAAACACATTAAACCATAGTCCAGGTAAATCTAGAACACATATCATCGATAAGGATGCTCACGGTTTTTTTACACTTCATACTTCCTTTTTAAACTTATTACTTACTTTGTACGCAGATGATCTTAAAGTAATGTACTCATTTTCTCCACATGAGCTGAGCAATATTCAAAATTGCATCAGCACGGAGCTTAACAATTTAGCACAGTGGTGCTCGAAATGGCAGCTGGAGCTTAATACAGCTAAATGTGGATGGATATGCTTCGGTGATACATCATTCAACTTAGATTACACACAGTAGTAGACCTAAGACTTGGGTACTCCTACGACTTGTCGTTTACAGAACAGATAACGAAACGGACTTCCAAGTCTCATTGCCTTATAGGTTACATAACTCGGAACAATGAATCACGCATTTTAATGCATAAAGTTTGTGTTCGACCACTCCTTATTCTTAGTAGTGCGCACATAAAGGATAAATTAAGGCTGGAATCAGTTCAAAGACGATTTACACTTCGTATTCTTGGAACTGATTGTACCTTGACTTATAATTCTAGGTGTAATAAACTTGGGCTCGACCCTTTATGGAAGAGGAGACTCAAACTAAATCTTATCTTCTTCAAAATACTTAACAAACTATCCTTTACATCCAAACAAGCGATTCAATATGCAGAAACTTCACATTACGACATTTGTAACTGCTTGTCACTGACGTAACAAACATATTCTAAATCATCTCTCCACATGAATTACTTTACCTGTAAATTTTCTAGACTGGAATAATCTACTACAATCTATCCGTACGATAAAATCTCTCCCATTGTTTGTTCGCTGCATTGATGCATACTGCTCCTCTGAAAATGCATTAAATGTTCTAGCGCCTGTAAGTGCATCTTACTCTACAAGTGAGATTGTAGGAACTTTAAATGTTTAACCCCTTATCTGATGTCACTTTACACTAATATTATCCCTAGCAACCTTAACTTATTTGGATAATATCTAACATGAACAGTGGTAAACTTGACCAACATATTTTGGCAATCATTGTTTTGTTGTTCCGTGCTCTCTGTTTTACTTTCTCTAGTTGTAGATAATTATCAATAATTCGTCCTGGCACTGGAAATAACCTTAAAGAGCACTGTTCACAAATCATCAGGCTATCCACTTAAGGAAAAATTAAAAGTTCCCTGCTGATGCATTGGATTGCCGCAATACATGTCATAAATAAGCCACTTAACAATTACTGAACTAGCAAACTTAAAACAATCTTATATCACATGTTTGTTATCCGTATCTAATGTTGTTATTTATATCAAATTGATCATGCCTGTAAACTGGTGTGAATTCTGTCGCGGCCCGAATAGCTCAGTGGTAACGTCTGTGACTGTGAAGCTGAGTGACACGGGATCAAATCCGCCAGGGAGCATCAGTTCCCTCAAGATTACAGGTACACTTTGCTGACGAGTGCCAAGTAGCACGAAACCCATGCACATGGTTTCCTGTTGACCACCTCCAACCACCATCTTACCTCAATATATATAGTGCAAGCAGTGTCGAGCCACCTAGACTGGTGGCCACGTTGCAAATTAATCGATAGCATTCGATCAGCACTAAGAAGGGCTTGACACGCATGACATTGATCACCACCCAGTGATCAATCGATTGTGATTCTGTAATTATTATTTTCAGAATATATTATTATAGTGACTAGTAGTAGAATACAGGATTCCAGTCTCATCCTATTTGGGACATCAACACTGGGATGTGGCAGGAACATCCAGCTAAGGAGTGCCAAATAAAAAGAAACGTCGATTCTCCACTCAACTGATAACTACCATGTAATCTTTTATTTTATTCGACAATGGTTAACAATAGACGTTAACAGGCATATTTTATCTTCTTGGTAGCAATCAGTCAGTCACAACGTAAGGCCAGGCACATATATGCATCGGTCCAAGTTGCCATACCTCATTAGCACAACAAGATAAACACCGAATTCATAAACGTAGTTACTACAATAGTAGTAGTACATAAAAGATTGCATATAAGGATATAATACAGAGAGTAAGAATCAGTTCGTAGAAAGAATGGTATAAAGCAATTTTAATCTTACAGTTCAAGAGAAGACAGTGAGTGTATACACTTTCGCCATAGCGATCGATTCTGAGCCATGTCACCTAGAGTCTCCAACTATTGGTTACGATAGTCATGCGGACCCCCAACCAAGTAGTATGCATCTACCAACATGGCGCAGACCAGAAGTTAGTGACTTCAAGTACTGATGCCACATCTTGGTTTGGTCACCTCTAACTTTCTCCCAACCATATCAAACACTGGTCAGCATTGCGCGTCGTGGTAATTAGTGTTCAGGCACACATGAAGTTGTCGAACTTTTCTAACCCCAACCTTCCTTGAGGTAAGGCAGCATCGCTGTCATGCTAGTTGTTTGAAGCAAACACCTTACTGCCGTCACACCTCTGTACGGTCAGCAGTACGACTTCACCCTCGGACCTTGGGTTTTCTACTTTTAGTCTTACCGTTTTTCGACCGACCTGTCTGCATGGTAGGACCTTCAGGAAAGATTGTTCCCACCATTATATCTCGATTGGTTCATTACGATGAAAAAGCTGGACCATCTTCTCATTACTTGAATAGATCCGTAACATACTAGTCACGTAGATATAGAATATGGGTGATGTAAAACTAATCGCCGACATACATGCGCAAGAAATTCAATAATAAAAATGGTCACATAAAAATGGATAGTAATAACAATAATGACAATACTAGGTGAAAGTAAATAACTCCTACCTTATAGCGGGTGCTGATATACATGTAATTAAAAGTAAGCGTAATTGTGTTAAAATATGACTTGGTTTAACAATAAATATATGTTTTAAAAAGAATGAATTCAATTCAGCCAATTGCCAGACTAGTATTAATTGACTGAGTAAAACACTTCGTGGTATCGATGAATCTGGGTGTAACCAACGTGTATGTGTCCAACTAAACAGAAAGATAAAAATGTAAAAAATCTAAACTGTCAGATTAGATTGCATAATAAGTGGAGGATATATACAGGATAAGGTTTTTTCTGTTACTTAAAATAAATAGATTACAGTTAGTAAACGCAATCTAGGCCACGTGTTTCGTCCCATCAAGAACTCATTAGCTGAGGAGTGTGTAGTGACATTTTATTCATTTGAAACATACAAAACACTCAATTTAATTATATCACGAATTGGTGTGACAGATAGATACAAACTGTTGTGCGAACTTATCTGACCTCTTCATGAGTAATTATAACCTTATCAGTTATGTTACATGCATTCATATTATAATTAATCGTAACACTATCTATGTACATTACCTATATACATGTATTCTTGTCTGTATTCATTTACCTATACTACTCTCTGTCTATGTAAACCAAATAGACTGAGACCAAAACTTATTTTGTTGAGTTGGTTGATGGTAATGCCTTTCCGAGTTGGATTCATTCGTTATCGTCTATTTGTTAATTTGTATTCTATTTCGTAATCACTGGTCAGATTTATATATATATATATATATATATATATATATATATATACACGAAATAAAGGAAATGTACTTCATTAATGTTATTTTATGGAGTTAGACAAGGCAACTAAAAATGTACCTGGATCCAATTGTTGACGATCGCATTAGGACTCAAATATGAGTAACTTTCGTTTCAAGTATCCACTACATTATTACCGGGTCTTAGTCCCAATGTGGACATCAACACTGATGATGAAAATGAACTCAAATGACGAGTCCCGGTTAGGGCGAAACACTTGACTTACATTCCATTTCTAGCTACTATCTACCTATTCTAGAAAAAACTAGTGACAGAATAGTTAAGATCATTTAATGCCTTCGACCTGATGGTTTGGGCCGCTGATTTTATTAGACATATGTTAGACATTTTAGCTTACGTTCCTTTTGAGAACTTGACGCGTACCCTTTGTGTATACCTACATACACAACTACATAAGCCGAGACTCATGCAATTCATATACATAAGCATACACATCGGGAAAACCATGACGGTTTTTAAAGCTTCGAAGAGTGAACCCTGAAAAATCCAAGTTCAGCATAAGAGTGGTGGATTGGTCCTATCTCTGCCGACTACACAAATTAGCTAGCAAGGTTGCTCTGACTACTCAGTGGCGCCGAGTCGGATTTTGCTACCAACGATTTTTACACGAAATCACGTCCACGCGATGAGTTTGTGAGCCTCGAAAAGCGGATTCTAATCCGAATAAGCCAATCGGCTTCACCAAACTCAAATGGATGGAACATTGGAATATAAAGACAATTTACATATTTATCAGCAAAGACTAATCAAAACTAACTTCTAAATATCAACAATCAGATAGGTAATTCAAAATCTGTCATATTGACGATATTGTTGCACTACGTTTAAATGTTAACTATATTATGGTAAAAGGATTGATCGGATCATTTGACAGCATTATTAGTTTATCTAATGCAACTTATAAAGTTTTTTTCTTACCAAATATTCAATACACACTTAGCGTGTTGTTAGTTTTAGAGATCATCTTCTTGTTTAGGATCGGCATGTCGATGTTTAACAGTGAACTAATTTGTTGTACTTTATTCTGAATATTGTTTTAACAATCAGTATTTCGTTGATATTCTGTGATTGTTTGATTTAGATACACATGCTTTCTCTCTATAAAGTTGAATTCATGAGTCAAATACAGCTAGACCACCTTGGAAAACCTGGAAGCATGGTGGTCCAGCTTTAGTTGACTCATGAATTCAACCATTGAATTACTAAAATCTCCACACGATCCACTTCTTTATATATGTATGTATAACTAGTTACGCAAATGTGGAGACTTTGGAATGACTGCGAAGCTGTAATTGACAAACCGAGTAATAAGATACACAAATCATTGTCATATGTACATTCGTCATTTTGACCCAGTCAAGGACATACAGACTTAGACCAAAATTAGGTGGCATAATCAACTTTCTTTAATAGGTTGTCTTATTTGACCTTAAAATGGTGTATAATCACAGACACTTGATAAGTGTAGATTCCGCCACACTATCATATTCAGTATAATAAATATATTCGTTGTTATATCGCAATGAGTAGAAAAATTGTATTTCTGACTTTTCGTGACTTAATGTAAATCACTTCTTGAGTGTAAACAAAAAATTCAACCTTTATCTATGTAAAAGAAGGCGTTAGGAAGGAGAAGAGAAAGTTAGCCTTGTACATTACTCATAACGCTGCTAAGTCCTAACATTGTTTACAACTGATTGGTTGACGCATGATATTTGGTGATAGGAGAGTGTTCATCACAATTACAATGGTAAATAAGTTTTGTTTACTCGTGTTATCCTATTCGCAGATTACTTCACCTCAAAACAGAGCAGATGTCAAGTGGTTAGATCATGTTCATGTAACCCTATGAGAACAATGATAATAAAAGGATGGCATTTTGTATTGATGCATGAAACCAATAAACACTGTTTCAAGATATATCTTTGTGAGGAAAATGAAGAAAAACTAAGAGATTATAAACAAATCATGTTTATGTGTCCCAATACGTTTCGGTATCAAACAAGGCACTCTATTTGTGGAAGCCTATTACGCCACCTAATTAAGGCCTAAGCCTATATGTCCTTGACCGGGACAGGAGGAAAAAATGTATATATACTAATGATTTGTGTACCTTTTTATTCGATTTATCAGTTACTGCTCCTAGTTATTTTTAGGTCTTCTCTTAATAATACAGTAGGTGAGCCTAGAGTATAAGAAATGTGCCTGAACTAGACGACCGTAAAAAAGATTACAAGTTAAGGAACTCGCGTAATCACTGTATTTTGCCGTTGAAAACGTCGGGCTCAAAGTCGATCGCAGTGACAAAGCTACTCATATTTACCACTCATCCTTCTTCAAATATTAATATTGTTCCATAATTTCGATTCTTGGATCACTTCTTTCGAAGTACATTTGTTATGCTTAGTTTTTCATTGGAGTTGAGATATTATTTCCTCTTATTCGTATCTTATCACAAGCTTACTTTTCCTTAAAGTGGGTATCATTATCTAGAAATGTAATGGAAGATTCACGACTAAATTATATCATTATTGTTATTTGGAGACAATGTCCGTCATAAACTGATCACAGTCGGAGCAGCATTGGAAACCATGGGGAAGTAGACAGCTGTTTCACCCTAGCATGAAACTTGATCAGTTTAAACCGCGATACCTAAGGATTTTGGGATGGATCCTTGGTGGAGTCGTGAGTGGGCACAGCCGAAGAGAGACGAAACGTCTGTCCACTGTTCGTCGGTTTTCAGTGCTACTCTAACTGAGATTAATCTGTCACGAACACTGGTTTCCATAAAGCTCTTTCTTATCGTTATGAAAATACAAAAATAGTACATTTTCGAACAGAGAAAAAAAACAGTAATTACCTGCGTGGTGTAAATTGTAAAAATGCACGTTTTAATTTACCACGTGCACTTGGTATATTACGGATAGAATCCCACTGATAATCACGCATTTCTAACCAACGACATAACCACATACCACATTGTATTCCTAAACCATTACAGACTAATATATCCAAGATGAGACTATCCCACCAACATTCATTGAAATTTGGTAGAATATGTGAAAAAGCTACCTTGAATAAGAGAGAGGAATAAATGACATACATAAACATATTTGAGCACATACACCAAAGTTATCTACTAGATAAAGCAGAGTTGTGTACTTGGTTTCTAATTGTAAGGACCTGATCGCCAGAAAAAACCCTGAAGGCTGAGTAGTGTTCGTGGACAGGTGACTTAGTGATTTAAAGTTGATTACCATAACTAATGACCTATCGCTCAGTCGAATTATACTTTTAAATAATAGTAATTGAAGTAATGTATCAGAAACTTGACTGACAGTTTAATCGATAAAAATGTGCAACGAGTAAGTCATAAAGTGACTGACTAATTGTCCAGAAAGTTCCATCGTGATGTAGATTGTTTCTTTATACTCCAATAACTTTTTTTTCTAATAGTTATAGTAAGCAATGAGATTTCCTGTCATCTGGTATCAAATGGTTTTGGGTTGAGTATTGGGACTAAATTGTTTTAGAGGTCATGAAGAAGTGAACTTTATTGAGTAGAGTGCAATAAATTACATCACCTATTTTTTATATCACTAAAACTGTTGTTCACCATCTGAAATCTTTCTACTTACATCACTCAACAGATAATTACCAACTGCTAGATGGTAGGTTTAAACGTCATTCTACAAGTTATCGAGTATAATTGAATAATTACATTCATATGCAGAATAGTTTGTGACCAAACGAATCCTAGATACCTAAATGATATAATGATGTCTTTCTTTTATCAGTCAGTCAGCTACGATGTAGGACTAGGCACATATATGCATCGGTCCAAGTTGCCATACCTTGCTACCACAACAAGATGAACACCGAATTCATAAAAGTAGTTAATTTAGTGGTGTTAATAAATGAAAGAAAGGTTGTATATAAGGATATAGTACACGAAGAAAGACAGATATGAAGCAATCTTAGTCTCAAGGTTTAAGGGAAGATAAAGAGTGTATACACCTACGCCATTGTGATCGATTCTGAGCCATGTCACCCAGAGTCTCCAACCATTGGTTACGATAGTCACGCGGACCCCAACCAGGTAGTCTGCATCTGTCAACATGGCTCAGATTAGAAGTTAGTGACTTCAAGTACTGATGCCACGTCTTGGTTTGATCACCACTAGCCTTCTCCCAACCATATCAAACACTAGTCAGCATTGCGCGTCGTGGTAATCGGTGTTCAAGCATACGTAACACGTGGCCCAACCATCTCAGTCGATAAAGATTCATGACCTCATCAATTGATTTACCATCATTCCCTAATACCCTGCGTCTAACCTCACTATTACTTACCCGGTGATCCCAGAAGATGCGAGCAATATTTCTCAGACATCTGTGGTCAAATAATAGTAACTTACGAGTATCTTCTACTCTTAATGGCCATGTTTCATAGCCGTAAATTAGAACAGAGTGAACTACCGCGCAGATAGACGGATATCTCGTCTTCGCCATAGGTGAAGTAAGTTGGCAAAAGCCAAACGATCTGTTTGAATCCGTGCTGAGATTTCATCAGACACCAACTCATTAGGGCTGATCAGACCTCCAAGATAAGTAAAGTTGTGGACGCGTTCGACTACATCACTCCCTATCCTTAGTTCAGGTATTGACGCAGGCCAGTTCTGGAGTAACAATTTACGTTAAGAGGGGGAGAAACTCATTCCAAATATCCTGGCATCAGTCAACTTTCTTTTATACTACAATAATATATAAAGCTTATATATTTGACTAATTATAAACTACTTATTCAGTATACAAGTTAATGTACTCAACTGATTTAACTCAAACTGTTTATACGTGACGACCAGAGTGATACCACTCGATTTAATCAAATCAAGTTACATGTTTGAATAGCTGTAACCTAATAGTTAAAACATCTGAATACCTTGATCACTACAGCTAATAAAACCATAGAACAGTTAGTTAAGAATTTAAATCTAAAGTTGTACTCAAACTTATCATTATTGATTACTAAAACGTGTCAAATTAATTTTCTGATCGCCATTTATTTAAAAAATAAGAACAATCCCTATAACAGCTTTATAAAAACACTTATATAAGTGTGAATTTGACAGATTGATGCAATGATCATCTAGAGGACCATTAGATATTGAGATTATTTTATTAATTAAATTGATGTGTATAACCGATGTATCCTCGCCTCAATGCATGTAGTTTAGTCCACAAAATAATGAAGGAAAGGTGATACGATGGGTTAATCAGTTGTAGGCAAAATGAGAAGTGAAAACATTATGATGATGATGATGGGTGGACACTAATGGTTGAAAATGAGGCTTTATATTCCGAAAGAAAGAGAATTGTGTTTATAATTGAGTGTGCATGCATTTTCGAATTAATTGGCCAATAAAAGATTTCTAATAACCCTGAGTCTTATCATTTAGACAGCACATCGGATCCGTGCATAGGAGGCTTATATATTAGTAGCGGAATCGGACAACTGTGTAATATAGTATTAGTATACTTTTATGCACTAGGATTAAGGTATTTACAAAGTCTTTGCTCTCGCTTATTTTTCATTTTGTCATAATGTAGTTTCGGGAAATAATGATACAACTTTAGATTGCAGCATCATCAAAAAGGTTTCTGACCAAATAGTAGCAATCAATTCTGTGTGAGATGGTTTTGTGAAAAAAATTGTAAGCATTCATCCTAGTTTGAGACTAATCAATAACGGTAGCCTCCCGTAACATTCAAGTTCTCATGAAGATAGGCCGATATAACGAATTATATAGATTGATCACCGATAAGTATTTAATGTCTTGTTTGTTTAATCCCGATTGTTAATCGACTCCTACCAATCCAATTTCAGTGTTGTAATTGATCTAAGCAACTCAATATCAAATGTACTATGTTGAGATGTTAAGCGATTGGAAGTAGTCAGAAAGGAATTCCGAGCCCAAGTTTCGTGTTAATTGGCACTCGTTCGAATCACACAGGGATAATTGATTCCCTTGATATTATAGGAAAACGTTGTTGACACGTGATAGCTAGTAGGAAAACTTGAGTTCAAGATTTCCTACCAACCACTTCCAACTATTGAATATCTCAAATCATTTGCCAAAATTAATACTTAAAAATAACAACATATCAATCACTAAGCTACTTACTTCGGTTATTTCCCAATTGATCGACAAAGTCCATGCAATAATATGATGTCTCAATAGAATTGCTTTAATAAGCCAACCAAGAAAATGTGCCAATGCAAAGATATCCATATGAGAATAAACTCGAGCAAGTGATATCTTAAAGTAACAAAATAATAATGATAAGCAGTTGGGTTGAGAAAAATGGATGTTTTAAGTCGGAAAAAGAAATACTTGGATGAATAGAAAGAACATAAATAAATAATCCCTAGAAATTCTAGCTAGGTCTAATGGTTGAGATCAGTCATTAAAAAACCTTATTTAATCTGAGAAATATGCTTATTAAAGCTATTTATCTGTGTAATTTTCACTAAAATGATGTTTTTTGATGCGACAGCTTGGACTGACGCATATTTGTGCTAGATTCTATGCTGCATATGACTTCATATTCTTTCATAGACTAATCGGTGTCATAGAACTGCAAGATAAAAGATGATGTTAAATAGTCATGACGACGAATAACTCATTGTAAAAATGGGTTAAGTACATTAGGTAGTAAGTAATTTATGGTCCTGAAGATGTAATACATTTTATTTATTTACCCACTACGCATTCATACATTCGGCTTTGCTCCATGTGTGACGGCTAGTGATACTGCTTGCCTGTCTGACCAAATGAAAGTATGTAGAATAGAATTTAGACCTGTAATCTTTAAGTTGAGAGTTGAACGCTAAAGATAATGCTCCGTTATCATGCTACTCAAACATTAAGCCAAAATCAGAGTCGGAGTTGGGCGTAAAGAACACAGATACTATAGTAAACAACTTCCACCAAAATAAATCATTTGGATTAAATTGGACAAGACAAATGAATTTCATCCTCAATTATAGCAGAATAAGGAGTGGTGAACTTGTGAAAACTGCATTATGAGTTAATTAAACAAACAAAACTAAATGGTAATGAATCAAAATACATAAAAGAATTTCCGAAGCTGGGAAGTTAACATATAATAAATATGTGAATGACAGAGTACGTATAGTTTTGAGTATTTTCTACACTCATTTACTCAAATTGACTGAAAATTCCGAGAAAATATAAGTGATTTTTAAACCACCAAATTGTAGAAGACATATAAAGCGTGAGAGAATAGACTTATGTATGGAGTATTATTTCTATAATCACAGTTACAAATAAATAACAAACCTCACTACAATTAACAGCATACTCTTTGTCAAGAATATCAGAATGACGCATATATTTCAGTTCAGGATAAACCCAAATCAAAATGGCGCGAGCTTCATCTAGACGAAGAAACACAACTGCAACTAAACATAGAAAATATAGTAAACTAGCACCGAAGACTATCCTCCATAGGGCTGGATGTGGTCGAATAAATGGGCCTAGAATGAATTTGAAAGTTTATTTTTAGTATGGATAAACACTGTTTATCATGATAAAAGGATACACTCATTAAAAGCATTTGGTTATAAAATATAAGATGGGGTAAACTATAAAAAACCACTTAGGATTGCAATGGTAACAACAATCAGTGGTGTAACATTCTGATGAGTCAAATATGAAACGGCATATAATTGGGTTTGAGATGAACTACTATGGAGAAACCCAGTGTATGAAGTAGTTTCTTACAGGTGTAATTCTAAACTGTCCTCCAGACTGTCGAGCACAGAGTCTTGGTTTCGCCAAATTCAGAAAAAGTAAGCTATTTGACTTGATAAACTTTATCGGTTTCTAAAACGTAAATTAACAATTTTAGTATACAAAATAAACAATACAGTATATTAAACAGGGAAAATGAGAGACAAATAACATACCCAACAGCAACTACAGGGTAGAGAAAATGAGTCAACAAGGCATAGTCATACAAGATCAAAAAAGTTAACGTGGTGGTGGGCGTTTCATGTCATCATTGATGGGATCGTTTATCGATTGCACTTTACACCAGGGTTTATTACCTGTGTTGGTTGGTGTAATGTCTTTAGACTTCTTATGATCTTCAGAAAACAACCTTTGAAATACAAAAGAAAAACTATGTTCTTCAACAACCAAGGAATCTGCATTCAGTATTAGCACTGTAGATAAAGAGGATATCACTCATTTTCAAGCTGCTAAATACTCATCGTCCTCGTTCTATTGTCATTGCAACGATCAGTGTACATTTCATTACGTACCATCGAATGAATATATAAAATCAAATTAAAAAGTAAATATTATTTAGGAAACCTGGTGCTTATACCAGTCTGTTGAAAAAGCCAAAAAACTAACCGAGTTATGAGTAACCTGTCTCATGAAAAAAACTTTAGAAATTTTGGATGATTAGTTTATTAGTCAGCTCGTTAGTTAAATCCACCAATTAGAGTATTTTTGATAAGATTTAACAGTTACGTTATGTCTTACTACAGATGTCTAAAAAAATGTATTCTTTTAGATAGCTTAACGCAAAATAAGACAATTTTAATATCATATTTGTACGAGAGAATGGTTGATTTGACACTATTTATTCATGCCTTGAAATTAAATTTGAAGATCAGTTCGTGAGAGTATAATTTATGAACGAACCTATCGTACATAAAATAACAGGCATCGGATTTTGGCGCGAAGTTTATTCATCCATTCGGCTTAATAGCGTCTTGGCATTTTAGCTGATGATAGTTTGTAATTAAAACTTTAAGTCTAATTCCTAATCATAACTATCAACTGTAAATATTAATCCTAATTCCTCACACTGCTTTATAACCCTCATTTATTCCTAGTAAATAGGTGGATATTGTCAGGGTCACTTTTGCGTCGCCCAAAGGTCGACCATAAATTATAGTCTCACCGATTATTTTACGAGGAAACACTGCTTCTGGGAGATCTTAACATATGCGTGACATATACGTAGTAATACAGCCCATGTACGAAAGCAGCTTAGTCTAAAGACCCATCAGCTGAGCTGTTCATATATTGAAATCATTGCCAAACTAATTATTTTAACTCATTGGGAAAAGCATGCAGATTTTTCGGGCAGGAGTTAGTTGATCTTAAGTTAATAATTTATCATATCCAGATAGAAGATAAAAACTGGGAAAGATGAACGGTTTCCTGAGGTGGATTTTGAGCATTAGCCTTACGATTCATGGAAAATTGTCAAAAACGATTTTTACGCGACTGCATTCACCTGTTTTTCAAGTAGGACACTTTGTGATCTTAGTCATATTTTGGTTGTTTTCTGAGCAAACGTTTTAAAGCCATTTTAAATAATGCTTGCAAAAATGTTCAGATGTATTAGGTTAGTATCAGAAAAATTAGAAGCAGATGATGATTATGGTTTACAGTGAACAGTAAGATATAAACACTTTTAATGCCAGAAAAATAGAGCTCATGTTATTTTAAACAAGATACCTTAACAGGATCCATATCCAGAACTTATTAATTCAGCAAGAAAACAAAAACGTTTACGCAAACAGTTTGCAAAGTCTAATAAACGTACCATTAGGCATTATCATCACCGAAATCAATAAAAATATGACACACACAGCGATAAATGCATGATATAAATTTTGCTGCAGTGATTGTGTAGAGGACCTTAATCATAAATTTAAATTAACAAACGAAGTACCTTGAAAAAGCGAAATAGGCCAAACATAACCAGATGACAACTAGCACGGTTAGTGTGCGAGAATGATAAAAGACACCAATTGTGATGTCATCGACTTTTTGTTGTTCAATTAGGGAGTTAAAGTACTCCTTATCAACTTGGGACTCAGATAGAAGTCGCCGACGCATTCTGAACAGAGCTCAAGGTCAAATGTAGACTTCAAGTTTTTACTAGGGTCAAGTAGGAATGTACACATTCATTATAACACTTAAGCGCATGCAACATAACATATCTGAATTCCAGGCAGATCATTCCGAGCTGCATGAATATGGCCGCGAGGCTATGGTTCATGAAAATCTTGAATTATTCCCAGTGTTTAAGACAAAAACTTCAACCGCATATGGTGTTTAGTGTAGAGTTCGCAGTCCTGATATCCAATATCGTTGTATAGAGCCTGTAGGAAGTGGTTTACTTCCTTGCACACGCTTTTGTTGTTTAGGTGAGGCTCTAAGTCTTTGGTAATGTCTAGTGGGTGGTAATTTAGCCAATAGACAGTTCTAGGATAAGTCAGTTCATAAGCTATTTATGAGGTTTTGTATCTTTAACCTGAGTGTGTGGATTTATTTCAAGGTTTTAGTAACTCCGGAATGAGTGGCCATTACATCATCAGGAGGTCGGTTAAGGAGTGAAAAAATATCTGAAAAATATCATACGCAGAAGAGCTAAGAGAAAACGGTTTTTTGAAGACTTAAGTAAACAAATTGACTAATAGTGCAGAGTGAACAAACCAATATGTGAGAACGAAAGATAAAAGGTTAGGATAAGAAACGTAACTGTAATAAGCTGGTGATATGTCGTAGATAATACGTATCATAAGACGTACATCAGGTACCGCTTGTTCAAGTTAAGGATGGTGATTCATAAATGAGTATATGGTTGTCCGGTTTCACCTTGAAGTTGTCAACTGACAGAGCTGTTTATTGTATACCCAGCCTCAAAAATTACATGGTTAGGAACCAATGCCATCACGAATCGACCGTGGATGGGGAAAAGTGTAACGTGTAACAGCCTTCCAAAAGTGAGCTACAATCAACCCATTCGTCATTTGGATAGTTAGAATTTTAAAGTATGTCATTCAGCCCGAGGAACGGAGGCTTATGGACAATATTTTCCACGATTTACCCCAAGTGTAAGTCTATATCGATGAGTTATTAATTGTCAGCTTTGATCAAACATCACAGTACCAACAAGCGAGAGCACTTTGAAAATAGGTGAATGAAAGCGAAGCGAGCACATGTCAAAGGAATTTCCGAGGTTTCAAATTACAGAAATTCTCGAGCACACAATGAACGCAGGAGGTACTAAACCGATAAGAAATGGTGGGCTCCACTAGACAACATCTCACACCAACAAATCAGAAGTTTTCCCAGGCCTAATTAACTTTCATTGCTAATTCACAACCAGTAGCATATGACTATTGCAATAGTTGATCAGTTTTTGTCATGACATTAATTCCCAACCATACGATCTTTTAAACCATGCATGCAAGTACTGAGGAGATTTACATTGAATATGTAACGCTTAGAGAGGGTCAAAAATGGTGAACGCAGAAGTGTTGATCAGTATGGCATGGCTCAGTCTTTCAGTAGTAGTCATCCTGTGTTATTCATTTTTATCTACATGAAATATATCATTTTATCCCCAGCTGAAACGTGTTCTTCAGAAGTACCAAACTTCCAAGTTACGCCTACTCAATATACTTAAGGTGAGAGGAATACAACGAGATTTCACCCGCAAAATACTTTGGACCGACTCACTCATTGATCACAGTACACAATGCCGTATCTTAGGTCTAGAACCCCTATGGAAAAGAAGGCTTAGGTCCAATTTGAATCTCTACTTCAAACTCCTCAAAACCCTTACTTACTCCACATGTAATATAGTTCTTGCCCAAGACTCACTAGGAAAGGACCTCGAGACAAAGTATCTACGGTCAAAGTTGAGTAATACAGATCAAAATTTGAACATATAAATATTGGTATAAGGGGGGCACTAGTCCATAATTTGTAACTTCCCGATAAGCTAGTAAAATGGTACTTATATAAATATTATTTTCCAACAGAATGTGAAACACCGAACATCGTGTGAGGTATGATATATATCCAAAAAAGCCCAAGTGAGCCTAACATTACAAAAGGAGGGAGGGTGATGTTAATGATTAGAAAGCATTGATGATGAGGGCGATGACTTCAATCCATCCATGCTTGTGGGGCAGAGCGATTTATTTGTATCATACCCTTTTGTGATAAGGAACAAGTCAATCAATCTGTGATATTAAGGTTGTTCTCCGACGCTCAGACTCATGTTTCCAATTTTAGGCTAGATTAGCTATTCTAATATGACAACCTATAGCACCCAACTCTGGATATCAAAATAAGGCTATGTGGCTGGCTTCGAATGAGAAAAATAGGGAAAACGAGATAGTAAAATATATCAATATCGCGACTGAATTCCTATTTGTGAGGATCCAATGGACGACAAACGTTATTAGTAAGCAATTGAAAAAGAACGATAATCAGTCACTTCACGCCATAAGCTTGAATGCAGTCAGAGAGAACCTTATTGTAGATTGTGCGCCACCATACAATAGCACATGGAAATTGTTATATCTAGAGCCTTGATTCTTAATATGCCGCGAACTACTCGACTACTTAAACGATAGAACCCGCAACGCCACGAAAGAGAGAAGACAAAGACTGGTAAGTAGGAAGTTTGTACCCAAAATCAGTGTCAAAATATAGCACAGAAATCTCTTGTATTTATAGATTTTTGGCTGAATGTAAATCATCACTTAGGTCAACCAATAGGCACATAGGGGTCATGCTAATCCATCCAATGGGGAAGCTACACGTCGATATTCTAGAACATTCCTTTAGCAGCGATTGGATGGAATGTATGTGGCTCTTCCTGGGCTTCTTAAGGCTTCCTAGAGTCTACCGACGAGCCGTCCTTACACCTCCCCTCTTTGAAGTTTGTGATGTATGACTTCCTTTTAGAACCTACTTGAAACATTGCTGTTGCTCTCCTTTTTCTGCTCAGCACCCTTATCGGCTGTGCGATTTCACTTTTACGTTTTCTAAGTCGTTGGTTGCGGCATTCTTCCGGGCTTTTCTGCGTTATATCCACCAGCATGTGGAACGGTAGTCGTGTATCTGTCACTGTTCTATGATCTTTCCTAATCTGATTTATATGTCTGACACACTTCCCGTCCTTTCTCCGGACTAAATAAAGTACCTTCCCGATACGCCGTTCTATGACGCCTGGTTTCCATTTCTGACCGCCTTGACACCACTTTACAAGTACTCTCTCACTCACCTTTAAGCTGCGGTCGCTCGTCGGATACTCGTGTACAGGCTTTATTGTTTTCTTGGGTGGTAATAGTCTGTCGAATATCGTCCGGATTTTTCTTCCAAACATACATTCTGCTGGTGACTTCCCTTCTGGCACCACCGGGTTAGGTGTGACTCTGTAGGTCATTAGGAATCTTCTGACCACTTGTTCCGGGTTACCCTCTCTTTCCCCCTTAAGCAAAGCTCTTTTATTCGTATCTACAAACCTCTCAGATTGTCCATTGGATTGGGGATGGTATGGAGGAGATTGAAGGTGCCATATACCATTTTCACCGCAAAACCGTTTTAACGTTGAAGACATAAATTGAGTGCCATTGTCCGTTACTAAGATTTCTGGGACGCCGAAACAAGAGAATAGACTGGATAATTTGGAAATTGTGTTCTCCGACGTCGTACTTTTCATTTCATATACTTCCGGCCACTTTGTGTAGGCATCCACAATGACTAAAAAGTTCTTGCCATGTATCGGGCCGGCGAAATCCGCGTATAATCTTTGCCAGGGCCCATCCGGTTTCGGCCACGGTTGTGGTTTTACTTTCACTGGGTTCTTCGCCGCTTCTAGACATGATTCACAGGTTTGGCTCAATTGTTCTATCTCTTGATCCATAGAATGCCAGTACACGTAGCTTCGTGCCAGTGATTTCATTTTACTCAAACCCGGATGCCCCATATGTACTCGTCTCCGGAGAGTGCTGGGGATAACAATGCGTTGGCCAAACTTGATACAGGAATCGACAATTGTGAGAGATTCTCGTCGACGGAAGTATTGTAAAATCTTTCCTTGTAGTCTTCCTGAGGGCTACTTTTTGAGTAGAAAATGGCGGATAGTTTCCAAAGTATTATCTCTTGTGCTTGCTCCTTTAATATTTTCGAATGTAATCGGCAGGGCAGCAATTTCATCTGTTAACACAGCCTGAACTTTCACTTCAGCTTCTACTGCGGCGACCAGTACATCTTATTCATGTTTTGTCTGGGAACCAATCAGTCTAGAGAGTGCATCAGCTTGTCCAAAATTCGTCGTAGGATGGTATTTAATCTTGAAATCATACCACAAGAGCGTTGTTGCCCATCTCTGTAAACGGTTAGCTGTATAAACAGGAATACCCTTCTTGGACCCAAAGACTGTCAGTAGGGGTTTGTGGTCTGTTAATAATGTGAACTGCCTACCAAACAACATTTTGTGGAACTTTTTAATCGCGAAGATAATGGCTAGTGCCTCCTTCTCTATTTGACTGTAGTTTCCTTCTGTCACTGTCAGTGATCTAGATGCGTGGGCAATGGCTTTCTCGGACCGGTCAGGGTAAACGTGTGAGATCACAGCTCCTATTCCATAGTTCGAAGAGTCTGCTGCGAGTACGATAGTGTTGCGTCATAATGTGCAAGCAGTAATTTTGAGGAGAGCAGCTTTTTCAGTTTTGAAAATGCATCCTGACATTCTTTTGACCAGACCCATTTGGTATTCTTATTTAGCAGATCATTTAACGGTGCGCGCCAGCAATGCAGATTCGGGAGAAAAAAACCATAATGGCTAATCATTCCCAAGAAATATCGCAGGGTTGTTACATCAGTTGGTGGAGGCATTGTCTTAATCGCTTAACGTTTTCATGGTCAGGTCTCCTTCCGTTCTTGTCAATTATAAATCCCAAGTAATGTACCTGCTACATGCAGAAAACGCATTTTTCATCCCGCAATCTGAAACCATAATCCTCTATCCGTTTCAGGACCGTCTCTAGTTTTTTATCCAAGTCTGCATAATCTGTACCCATAATAAGTATATCATCCAAATAGGCAGCAGTACAAAGAATGTCCTGCAACATGGTATCCATGACTTGTTGGAAGATTGAGAGTGCTGTCTTTACCCGTCTGTTATATCGGAATAATCCTTTATGCGTGCTTATCGTTAAATAATGCTTGCATTCTTCAGCAACTGGAATCTGTAAGTAAGCTTCTGATAAATCTAGCTTTGCAAAATACTTTCCTCCATTCAGTTTCGCGAACAAGTCTTCTGGTACTGGCAATGGTGTTATATCCCCCGGTGAATTATGAATGGTAACTCTAAGGACTATTTATCGACCAATGTATTATGTCTATTTCCTATTGTACAATTATTGCGTAACTGAACTATTCATATTCGTATTTCTCTTATCATTAGCCTTATTTTGACCTTGACTTATTATCATACGATTCTTGAGTTATAATCAGTTTATTGATTACTTTGGTTTGTATAAAAACCCAGTGTGTTTGTAAATAATGATTCATATTGCCGAGGCTGTATTTGTGTTCTGGACTCGACGGCTTGGTTGGGCAGATAGGAAGGACCGAATAGCAATCAAGACTGCTCGTACGATTTTAATCATCATTCGCGTCCGATCAACAAATTCACTGTTCTATAATTTCACGTTCATATATAATACGAGTCCATACGTTATAACAGAAATAGTGAAAGCAAGTCCAAACCAGAGTCAAATAATAAATGGTTAGATGAAGATCGAGAAGTATGGGTGACGTGTTAAACAGTTTTCGCACGAAAGTTTACATGTAAAGAAGGTAGTAAAATTCAAAAAATAATAATACAATGAAGTAGAACACTTTAAAATGATTTTCGGAGCATTTCTTTTGTTACACTAAAGCTGAAGTGCGAACCCGAGTCATATCGCTTGTAGTTGGCGTTTAGTGGCGGTTGACTATGATCACCACTACAGGGAAACTATGTGCCAGTTACTAGGTTAGATCCTTCCGTAGGCCTAATTTGTAATTTTTAATTTGTAGTAATATATGTTTTTTGGCGATCTCATGGTATCGAAATTATACCGAGATAATGAAAAAGTTTACAAACGAGACTACTAAGCGTACACGGGTTCTTACAAAATTACAGAGCAACGGAAAAAGTATCCTTTTGGTGCACTTAATCAAACAGATACAGTAAAACAATCACCGGTACAATTGGTTAGAATAACAGTTGTTAACGCTATGGCAATCGTGTTCTCTTTATAAAAGTAGATCACAACAAGCTTTTGGACTATAAACGTAGAGCTCATTCAGTGTAAAATGATAAACAGAAGGACAGATAGAAGTAGTTCGTATAGCGAATGCGATGAAAATTCCCAACTTTGTGCAAGACATTGTAGATTTCTTCGAGTTGTAGTATAGCACAGAAAGCAACTACCGCTTCATAAAACCACCACAAGGACTACAGCCATGATGAATCATATCACGACCAATCCGCTGTATCCCGATACGTCGCTAATACGATTCAGTAATAGACCATAACTAAGAGGAAGACAAGAAAGAGCAAGGGCAAATTTTCCATAGTAAGAAGTTATGGTATATATAAAGTGATCTAACTGCGCTATAAAAACATTTAAGGCATTGTAGATTATTAACATAGATGATCTGCGTCAAGTGACTGGGGTACTACTCATGTCAGACGGGAATGATGTGAAGAACTAGCTAACTTCGAAGTCTCACCTCGTAGTCAGCACCTAATATGGATTACCCCTTTGTCGTATTATAGCATCTTTCTACAATCATTACGGTTAATTTTAGTAAAGTTCTATTAACTTACTCAACAGCCAGTACTGTTCGAACTGTAACGATTCACATATTTCTTTGTACTATTATTATTCCAATCATATCTGTATAAAGGTGTACGCTTGACCACATGATAGACTCTAGCTAAAATGTTGATAGCTTAAATATCACTCGATGATTCATTCTCTTCCCCATGTATACATGTACCCAAATCGTACTATTAGCCTTTACTTTGCCTTGCTGTGCGTTTATGCCAGTTGACGATAAATTTGCCTCTGTATTTACTCACATACACATATTCACGTCTCTTCCTCAAACTTGCTTGATGTGCTTATGGCTTTGTGATCTGCGCTATCCGCCAATAAACTGTAGTTGCCGTTTCTCAAGGCCTTCTGATTTCAAACACCGTTGAGATTTATATTACAACGGTAATCGAGGTGATTGATCAACGAAGCAAAGTCACTACATTATCAAGTTACTATGGATGCTTTGAAGACTCTATAACAATAGGGATGTTATCATAGAAAAGTATTAGTAAGAGTAGATACAAGGAAGAGGTCGCGAACGCCACCTCATTGACTAGTACATGGCATAAGATTCACTGATGGGCGTTGATTGTCCTTGAGCTTGACAAAGATGGGCAGACTGTTCAACATTGAGTGTTCTGACTGCCGAATGATTTGTCTAGGACCAAGTGACATTTGACCATATGAATTGAACCCTTCCAATATACTTCGTGTTTGACCTCTAATACCGTCATTATACAATGATTTAGCTTTAGCACGATTTACTGAACAAAACATAGGGTTTATATTTTTAAATTCATTCAATAAAGCCATTCAGTTAGAGGTAACGAAGGATACTAAACTTCCTGATTTGTGTCCGCCTGAGTACAAATCTGAGGCCGAATAACTAAACAATGGAATCCCATACAAAAGGCAACAGTGATGGGATCTTCAGCTCACTATTTCAAAAAAAAAAATCAAAGATATCGAGGGTTACTATTCTAAATGTCACTTCATAATTTCTTCTTCCAGACTGACCAAGCTAAACCTATTCCCGCTGTCATATAGAAGAATCAGAGGTGACTTGATTACAGTTTTCAAATTGCTTAGTGATAAATTTGCACCTGATATGCCCTCATTTTTTTGTCTTCCAAAACAGAAAATTTACGAGGACACTCCAATAGAGTTCACAAGCCCAGAACGAATTACTTGTTAGCTGACTACCGACTTTCCCATCGAATAATCAACGAGTGGAATTCATTACCTCAGCACGTGGTTGAGGCTCCATCCGTCGACTCCTTCAAAAGAAAGTTGGATCAGCTGAGAGACCATCATTGCCAGGACTCACACAGGCCATCAAGCCTCCTGTCCTTTCCAAACTGATACTGAAACTTAACTGAAACTGATTTTAAACTGTTTTTATCCTTTTGGTCCTGACCGAATATTATGTGAAATACGTTTTTCTATAGGTGAAAATTTTTACTTTCTGCCAAGACATATATCTTAAAGGACATAAAGTTTTCTGCTTTTGCGCAGCAAAGTTCTAACTATAAATTGAGCATTAGTTTCGGTCTTGGTCAAATCGTGCATTTGTTCGATGTTTGCGTTACATTCACGAAATGTTATCGATTCGCTATCAGATGTTTCATCCAGTGATGATGAAGATGAAATTACTAAGAGTAAAGTTAGTAGTCCGGATGATAAAATAGCAGTTCCATCCCAACGTTTCGCACCTGTCAGTCTGACAGAAGTTTTGAGAAAAAGAAACAAGGTGTTAGATACTATAGTTTTCTGACATTACTTTATAGTGCCAAAGTCCTGTACAATAGCAGTAAAATATTACCAAAATACTGGAAGCGGAGATACGATCTTTTTGAACGATTCGATGAAGGTGTTCAGCTCGATGAAGGTAAGTTGTTTTGTGTTTGCGGTCACCATGATGTTTAATTTAGTCTCTTAGGCGTAAGACAGTTAATTTAGTAAATCACACCTGATACATAATCATTCATCTCTGTAGCGATCACCTTTAAATGTATGTGTGGTCAGGAAAGTATATTCTTGCTTTACTGTTATGCTTCTGTTGATATAACCGTATACTGAACATTCTAGTCGGTGGAAACAAGTATCTTCAGACACTAGTTCTATCTTAAAAACAGTAGGTCAATCACAACCAACATAAGGTAGAACGTAACTTTTCTATTTCGTTTATTTCATAGGGTTAGAAAAAATACTGAGAAATGTTTACTTTCCAGTCTGTTTTTAGACTAGTTTTACTTCATTTGCACTATGAAATCTTTGTTACTTTGGGAAAAGTTTAGGGCAAACAGATATTGTCATAAAGATTTATGTTCCTTTGTTAGATCGACTTTAAAGTTGTTAAATGCAAACTGTGGAACTCTAGTGTCGTTATGTTCATTAATTGAGGTTGTTTGTTAAGTTCTCTCTCATTTCATGTGATCAAAAGATGTATTTTAGGGCCACCCATTCTTTTTCTTGGATTGGTGCTTCTATTTATAGGGTATCGGTTAGTTACACTAAATATTTTTCGTTACACGTATCTTTCTTTTTGTTTCCCATGAGTTTTCTAGTAAACACTAATCTAATCCAGCCTTTTGCATGAAAATTAGGTATTGAATTAGTTCTGCAAGCACTCAATTTTTAACCATTGGGTCTCAGGTCTGCGCACCTTTTCAGGAAGTCACTTGGTCACCAGTTATAGCACACAAAATTTGACGCGAAACTGAGTACAAAAGACTATTTGGTTAGTAAGTCAGAAAAACGTCATGTAAAACTGAAGACTTGCAAATGGTTTCAGATTTGCGTATCTGACGCTAAAATGGTACTTACCTAGAGTAATCGAGAACCCTGATTCCAACAAATGGTATGCTTGACTTTCAGAATCCTGGGGAAACTAGTTGTATGTGAACACATTATAGACACTGGCTATCATGGGGGGTTCACATTCTGACATTAATCTATTGGTTTGTGGAATAAATCCCCTGAAAACAGCGTGCGTTGGTCTGGTCATCTGGACCATATTCTCCGTGTGATCATAATAAATACTAGTGGAGTAAACGAATATTATCATTAACTCAACCTATACACTAACACTCACAGGTTTTGAGGGACATCCATACGTAAGATTTAGTGGTTGTATTTTTATAGGAGTGCAGATGAACTGTTCCGTAACTGCTTAAAAAGTGTCTTATTTATATTGTTTATTGACAAAGTGCTGTAGTGTGAAGGATTCTAAATCAAGTTCACTGTGTTCACCTTCGAAGTGGGAATGAAGTTGGTATTTTTCTGCTTTATTACATATTTTCTACTAGAATCATGGTACAGCATAACACCAGAAGCTATTGCTTGTCACCAGGCGAAAACGTGCTCATGTGATTTACTCGTAGATGCTTTTGCAGGTGTTGGAGGAAATACTATACAGTTTGCGCGCACTTGTCGACTTGGTAAGTGTTCAGTGTTAAGTTCATTTTTTTGTCACTAGTCTTGTAAATTATACCTATACAACTAGCCGTTCAGTTTATACTGTCATTAATCAAAGGTTCCAATTGCTAAAATAGGTTCTTTTCGATTTATAATACATCACTGACCAGTAATAAACGATAAATTTGGCTGATTAAAAATTAAGCAAATTTATATATAGAATGTTTGGTCGCCCAAACCGGCTTAGTTTATGTTGAGTTTAATTCATTGTGTTCATGGTCAGAGGTTTTTCAAAACTGAACCACTTCAGTTTAAATCTATGACTATGTAGATAACCGAAATGATAAGTTTACTAAGTTTACTAAACCGAATTACTACCAAAGTATTTTATCAGGATGCAACTAGTTTTGTTTCTGCACAACTATGTGACTAATTTTATCTATTATTGAAAAATTAATCCTCTTCTGTTGAAGATCCAGTCGGTTTTGCATTTTGAAATTGTGAAACACAAGAATACACAGATTTTGGGTTCTAGCTTTCCGTACAAGAAACAGGATCAACTTTTTTGTCTACCGCTCAAACCAACTGTTGTTCATAATTGTATAACGGAAATATGTTTTTGATTTCCGAACAAAATGTTTTAAGTATTCTATCATTAGTTTTTTAAGTTATTAGTTTACATCCCACTTGGTAGTTGATCTATCCGGAGCTGGATAATACACATTCTAGGTAGGATTTTATACTCTTTTTCTGAGTTTTGCCAAGTAATAAAGTTTGGTTAGTATCAATCAGTCATATGCAGCGTATGTGTATCAGTTCAGGTTTCCATACCACATTAGCAGTGGGTAAAATTACCTTGCCAAGTCTCGTTCGTGGTTAGGCTACCGGACAATCGAACAACTTTACAGTGGATTTCAGAAGAATCAGATGTCATGCAGGGTATTTACATCCTGAATAGCACAGCTCAGTCGGAAGCTGTAACCATACAGGCAGCTACCAACAACCCTGGTGGACTGATAAAGTTCATTTTGCTTCTTATCACTTTGTAATTTCTCTTAACTTTTATCCTAAACTAGCACCGATCTACAAATAGGACATATGACAAGCATACGCAAAACGTGTTATTTATCTCAACAAATTTATAATTTATTCAAGTGATATATTCCTAGCTATCAGTCCATATTTGATTTCCATGATTGATCACTGTATGTGTGATCAAACAAGGTGAATCAATATTTTGTCAAACAATATTTATCAAAAATGTGATGGAAAAGTCAAAGCACTGTTAAGTATGCATGCCCTATCTCACTTAACGAGCTACAGTATTACTTAATATCATATACGTAACTTTCTAAAGTTCAACCCCGTCATCACTTTAAGTTGTTCTGAAACTTCATTTATTTCGTTTTCGTTTAATTTTAGTTTTAGCCATTGAAAACTGTTTCCCACGATTATTAATGCTCCAAATTAATGCACAGATATATGGTGTTTTGTCAAACATTATGCTTGTTTGTGGAGATGTTGAAAAAATTTTAAGTAGTTTAAGAATTGTTCTATTTTCGTCTACCAGTTCTACGATTGATGATGATACAAACGTGCAAATTTCAGAAAATCAATATGGAAGTGATAATTTAGAAGCAATTTCTATATGTTCACCTGAAAAGAACCAAAGTACATTATTATCTGGAAATAATGAACAATCTGTAGATTTTTTGTCTGAAACATCGATTAATATAGAAGATAATATTTCGAAATCAAACTTTAATTCATCTGAACGTCATAGTTCATCGCCATCATTTTTATTAGCTAATACAGAGACCACATTTGAAGTGAACCCAGAGTTAAATGGAAATGGAACTTTAGAGAAGCCATCTAATTCTACATTTAATTCACTCATCGATATCATATTCATGTCACCACCTTGGGGTGGTCCTGATTACATTGGGAAAGTTTTTCCACCTGGCTCAACTAGTTGGAATCAACGTAAACGGAGACATTGGTTATATGATTTGAAAGAAATGGAACCTATTAAAAATCTTGAAGACATTCCCTTTCTTAATAAAGCATTAAATATTTCAAGACATGTTTGTAACAAAATTCTAATATATTTACCAAGAAATTCGTCTATTGGTCAGTTGATTCAAATGAGTTGGCCACTAGGGAATTGTGAATATATTGCTGATTGTTGTTCTTGTAAACAATATCTTAATGTACATATTGAAACGTATTGTTTACGTGGTAGACAATTAGCTCTTGGTTTATATTTGGGAAGTTTTCCGTGTTTTGAGGAGAATATTATAGTGTAAAATAAACTTATTTGAATAATTATTTGTTCTTAGTTTATAGTGTGCCCCTAAATGCCCTGGTACGGTCTAGGGTGGGGAGAGCCAGCTCTCTCAAAATACTCTCGCATGGACACGTGTATGCAGCCACTGCCACGGAGGTCCTACTCACTGCCTTCAAGCGACCGGATAGTTGTTTACGAGATTGAGAGAACGAAAGCAAATGTCAAGCGCTTTAGCCATGTCGGTGGATTAGGAGATCTATCTAGGGAATTGAAAAACTCTGATTCCAAACCAATAGTGCACATGGACTCCAGGATCCTGGAGGAACAAATGGCGCATGACTTTATCGTTGGTTACCGACCACCATGGGACTGTGTCTCCTAACGTTTCTTCACTGCCTTGTAGACTAGACCTTTAGGTCAGAGGCCCTGTATGTGGCCTCCTAACTAAAGCACCTACTTTGTTTTGGGTACCCGGACTCTATCCGTCAAACAAATCGAATGACGAAGTGTGCTCCATGTGTATTTGGTGCTTCTTCGTATCAATGTTTATGCGTTTAAATAAATATACTTTTTAGTGTAACTAACATTATTTTTATGGAGTGGATGGATGTATAAGGTTTGTTTTTGATGTTGAATGTTTATATAAAAGAGTGGAGAGAATCTAAAAATAATCTAAATTGTCGAGAATTAGAGTGGATATATGCTCTTTTGGTATCCAGTCTTCTTTATATCAACTCTTATTGTGACTGGTTTTGTTGTGTATTATGTTAACTTTGTACGCATGATATACAGCAACCAACAAAACTTGTCAATCTAAATTAAGAGAAAACAATTTAGATTCAAGAATATTTTGGAATACCCCTTTAAGAATAAACTTGGGTGTTTTTCCACTATACTAGTTAGAATAAAAGTGTATAACGAGCAACCAAAATGTTCGAATCAAAGCGTCAGATAAAATGATTGGGTAAAATTAACTTAAGAACAATTAAACCAATAAATACTGCCCCAGTGATTACGCGTTTACTTGCAAAAATGAAGGTCATGGATTCAATTCTTGATAAGGAGGAGATCGTGAATGTGCACTACCAAAACATTCCATACTCGGAAAAAACAGTTGTTCAGGGCTTACTGATATTCAGCGGTTGTTTAGCTAAGATCATTCCATGATGTTAGCTATGGAATGTTTGTGTTTATCCTCAGCCAAGTCATTCCCCTTTCGAACCAAATAATTTTAATTAAGTACTGAATACTAGTCAAACAAAGGTTTGTTAGCACTGAAAAAAAATTACCACTTAATTCCCATTAATTTACAAGGAAGATGTTACATAAAATCAGTTAAATGTTGTTATGTAGTATAAATTCGTAAGAAATAGTTTGGTCTTGCTCAGTGGTCTATCGGTTAAGTGCTCTGGCGCGAGACTGGTCGGTCCTGGGTTCGAATCTCGCGGGGCAAGGTGGTGGATGCGCACTGCTGAGGAGTCCCGTAATAGGACGAGACGGCCGTCCAGTGCTTCCAGGTTTTCCATGGTGGTCTAGCCTCAAGTAACTCACGCTTTCAACTATGAAAGTTTGATCTTTGTTGATTAAATTGATATATTGGGAGTTGCAAGTTTATTGTGTTTCAAATAAATTTGTATGTTATTCATTCTTCAAACAAACGTGAATTGTAAGATACACATTGAATACTATGTTATGGTTAGAAATGTTTGTTTAATTCTAAGATTTTTATTCCTAACTCTACATACTCTAAACCATAGTCGTAACCTTAAACCCTAGCCCTGAAAAACTGTTTACATCCTTACAGAAGTTTAGGAAAGATGATGATCTATGCTTATATGAACATTGTTTTTCTCGATTTACAGACAAAGTAACCTGTAGTAGATTTCAACGAATTTATTAATTATATAAAATCTTTCATCGTTGAAAGTATGAGTCAATTAAAGCTAGACCACCAAGGAAAACCCGGAAGCAAAAAACCCCTTCTGATTATATAAAATCTGTCTAGACTTTATGATACTAATGTTTAGTGTTTTTTTTTACTTACGCCTGTTACCCCTCGTGGAGGAGCATAGGCCGCCCACCAGTATTCTCCATTCAACTCTGTCCTGGGCAATCAATGAATATTGTCTAAGATTAATTCCCCATTATCGAAGCTTTTGATTACATAATTAAGTGATGTATAAAATCTAACGATCAAAAGCACATGATTATTTGCGAATTTAATACTTTCATTACGAAAGTATACACAAAATGCATTGGAAACTTTAATTCATCATACGTCTGTTGTATCTATCCAGTTCTTGTCCAATTAGAGACTGATGTTTCCTTAAATGAATATATAAAGTTGTTAACAACATAAAGTATTTATTTTATTTATTTAAACACATAAATATCGGTACAAAGGGGCATCAGATATATATTCGCCGCACAAATATCATTTGATTTGTGTGAGGGCTGTGATACTGCCCAGGTGCCCAAACTGAAGCAGGTGGTTTTCTTAGGGGACCACACCCGGAGCTTTTGACCTAAAGATCTGATCCACAAGGCAGTGGAGCATCGTAAGGAGATTCAGTCCCATGGTAGTCAGTGATCAATGATTGATTCATACGCCATTTGTTCCCTCAGAATACCGGAGCCCATGTGCACCATTGGTTTGGAATCAAAGTTTTTCAACTCTCCTAGGTGTACCCTCCATGTCCACCAACCCGTTTAAAGCGCCGGACATTCGCTTTTCGTCCTCTCACTTTCGTAAACAACACCCCCGCCACGAGAAGGCAGTGAGTAGGACTTCCCTGGCAGAGGCTATATATTCGCTGGCCATGTGAGAGCATTTGGAGAGGGAAAGCGTACTCTCCTCACTCTCGGCCGTACCAGGGCATTTGGGGGTACAATAGGTAAACGACGACAGCTAATAGCTGTGTCAAAATTACAATGAGATATAATATCAAAATGAGAAGAAAGAACACAAAATATGGAAGCTGTTATAAACGTTAAGAAGATGCAACTTCAATAATAAAACTGAATGTTAACTGTTTGTATAAGTACTTGGGAATATTACGCAACTAAGTTATTAGAATTAAAGCTGGTTACTCAATATTAGTAAGTAGTATGATGCAATATACAAGGAGGATTAGAAAGGAAAGGAATGTATTTAGATAACACAGACTTGACAGTTATTGTTATGCTTTCACTGAACACTAGGTGTTGAACCAATAGGCTAGGCGCCAAATTAACGAATACTCAGTTATGTGACACACTTAGTTCAGTTATCTAATCTCTTGATTGATAACTAGATTAGACCAAACAATAGTTTATAAATATAAATTATAAGCTGTCGACACAGAGTGAAATACTGGTAGAGTTCATGAAATAAGAATAAAACGTTGGTCCTAATGTTTTGAGATAAGGCAATCGAGTTACTAACCATTGTATTTAAATGACTAGAAAAGATACAATAAAGTAGTTTATTCTGAGTGGAAATTCAAATACCAACAACCAATAAGTCAAAACGGTACACAAAGATGATGTCGGGTGTGAGGCACTTACCCACCGAAGGCAATCATAGTGGTAGAGGTAGTAAGAGTATAAGCGGTAATCGGAAAGATTAGGTCTTGAAGATGTTATTCAAAGAGTATAATGTAGTGAAATAAATTTGGAAAGAGAAAAAAGAAATGGACATGAAGAATTCAGAAGATTAGAATATGGGAGAATACAAAGAGTGGATGCACCTTCGCCATTGCCAACGATTTTGAGCCATGTCATTCAAGGTCTCTAACCATCGGTTGCTATCGCCTCGCGGATCCCAACCAGGTAGCCTACACCTACAAACATGACTCAGTCCAATTGTCAGTGACTTCATGGACTTGTGCCACGTTTTAGTCTGGCCGCCCCTAGCTTTCTTCCAACCTACTCCATGGAACATTGCACGTCGGGGCAGTCGGTGGTTGGGCATACGTAACACGTGTCCCAGCCATCTCAACTGATGAAGTTTCAGTACTTCATAAATCGATTTACCATCTTCACCTAGTACCGTTTCCTAACGACAGCATTACTTACCCCGTGGTCACAGGATATACGAGCAATGCTTCGAAGATACTTATTATCGAATACACAAATGACATGAAATGACGCACTACACTAACTACATTGCTCTCGTTCCTAATAGAAGAAAGACAATTTACATTATTATTATTACCATTATTATTATTATTACTATTATTTACTACGTCGCTTCTTCACTCCCTTTGTTCCCAAATTGTGTATCCTTCCTTTCCAACTTATGCAGTAGCTCGCCCATGGTGGAAACTCTGTCCTATCTAAACGATCTCCAGTCACTGTCTGGTTGAAAGTGAATGCTTCCACCGATTACGAATACTGAAGCAGTCTTTCTGAAACCACGTACGCCGTTCAAGCTGGCTTCCTTCAACGTTCGCACACTAATGCAGATCGGACAACAGATGGGGCTGGCTATGTCTTTAGAAAGTCTTAATGTTGATGTTTGGTGTCTATCCGAGACCCGTATTCAAGACTCTAGTGAAGTACTACAAATTCGTTCTCCATCTGTCGCTTCGAAAAGCTTGTTTCACGTGCGCTTATCCGGGGATTCTGTGGCATCTTCGTTTGGTCTTGCAGGCGTTGGTGTTGCACTAAGCGCTAGGGCTGAGGCAGCACTAATCGATTGGATCCCCATTAACAGTCGGTTATGTGCTGTTAGATTAGAAAGTTCCATCAAAGTGAGAAGAAATCGGCGTGAGAAACGGTGTCTTTTCGTCATCTCCGCCTATGCCCCGACAGATTGCAGCACGGATGCAATCAAGGATGAGTTTTACCATCAGTTAACAGTTCTTCTCCAGAAAGCGCGTTCGACAGATATTGTAGTATTAGCCGGAGACTTGAATGCTCAGGTCGGGCGTCTAGGCACAGAAGAGAGTCGTTTAGGTGGCTGATAAGGACTTGTTGGTCGCAGGACAGATAACGGGGACCGTTTGCTGCAACTGTGCACAGACCACAACCTGTTTCTGGCTAGCACTAAC